GTGTGTACAGAATATCAGTATGAAAATACGACACCCTCTGTCCTTAGACCTTCACATCGTACAAGGAAAAACTTCCAAAGAAACCCACAGTTTAAAGGGGAACATGGGAGAAACCTCAGGGAGAGCAACAGAGGAGGGATCCCTCTCCCACGGACAGACGTGCAATAGATGCCGTGTGTACACCAATATTTACATTACTTAATTAAGAGCATATATGTGTGTATGTACTTTTTCAGGATGTTTACATTAATTGCATTTGATTTTGGTTTGCGAGGAAGCGTCAAAGTGCACCAGGGGTCAAACATTAATTGAGCCATTCTTTCAGATTCTGATTCCTGCATGTTGCTTGAAGAGTTCAGAGAAAATAGGTGATAAAAGAGGGAAGATGGAGGTGAAGAGGAAAGCTGTGGGTTAGATAGTGAAAAGATTGTGTGAGAAATTGTGCGAGGGTCTGGGGAAAAAGACAGAAACAGGGAAAATGTAAAGGAAAAGGATCATTACTATTAGAGTGACAGTAAAGTGGAACAATGAAAACAGCTGTCTGTCCTGAATGCTCCCAGCTGTGCCCTCGCTGGTTTTATCGATCCACAAGTACTCATCTTGTGTCACACTGACTCACACATCCATTTGGATACAAATACAGATTTAATGTCCCCTTGATGTTTTACTTAACATTCAACCTTCCTTACACCAAGGTTTCTCCTGGTCATTAACTCACACGTCAACAACACACGTTATCTGCCTGCTCCTGCTATTTGTTGAGGCAATATCACACTTCAGTACTATAATAATGCTAGCCTTTAATGTCAAATGTCTGTTCTGTTGAAGAGGTTCAAGGGTCTGTTCACAACATTACTAAAGAGCATATTTCCCACTTCTGTGACTGAGAGTTTTGGTATTATTTCCCATGCTTTCAACAGTTATTTTAGGGACAATCTCTTCAATTGAAACAGTTTGAAAGCTGTTTACGGGAATGTCTGTGAACTGTTCAGGGTAACCAGGACATTGTTTCTGGAAAGACAAACCTCTGTTCAAATGTCTTTTATTAAGCTGTGAGCTAGGGCTGAACGATTCATCCATTTTAAATCGAAATCGCGATTTTAAATGATGCAATTATCAAACTGAACTGGGCCTGATTTCCATAAGGTTAGATAATGAAGCCTCACAGACTGTTTGTGTCTGACAGAACAGCCAGTGTGTTCACCTGGACGGTGCACGTGGAACCGTCTTCCATGTGTGTTTGCTGTCTGGCTGCTCCAGTGGTCCCGCTTCCTTATGCCTCCAGCGCAGGGTCAGGGAGTTTGATTGACTTGTGCCTTGACTCACTCTGGCTTCCAGGAACTCTCTACCATCAATACACATCATCATCACTCGCCAGCCCTGTGTGTGTCTCAGTGTGTCTTAGTCTGTGTGTGTGTGTGCCTGTGTTTTTGTGTGTGTGTGTGTGTGTTTCTCAACCAGTTTAGCACAGTGTGTGTGTCTCTCAGTTAAATCACATGGTTCTGCTTGTCCCCCGCGTGCCTGCTGCTTGGCCTATTTCCATGGTAACTAGCTGAAGATCACACACACACAAACACACACACACACACACACACACACACACACACACACACACACACACACACACACACACACACACACACACACCAAATAACAGGCGTCTGTGCGAGGGGCTTGTCAGAGACATCTCGGTTGTGTGTGGCTGTAGGGTGCAGCCAGTCAGAGGGAGGATGTGTGATCACACACTCCGCAGGCTCAGCGGGAGACACACACACTCGCACACACACATGCACACACTGTATGCTGAGACAGAAGCTCAGGATGCTGTTCAGTAGAGGAAAATGGCACACAGGGGCATGCCAGCCAAATCCCTTAAGTCCTCTGGCAATTTGGATTTGTTTGTTTATGGATTAATGTATCCATTTAAAAAAAGAAAAAAGAAATGGTGTACATAGATAAGTGTGGGGATTTGTCAGAATGCAGTAGGTCTGTGTGACAGGTGGATGAACTGATTCATTTCACTTGCTGCCCTTGCCACGACGTCCCCCCTAACTCCATACCAGCTCCCTCCCCGCCACCCCAATCCCATGGGACTGTCTCTATAGCGCAGCCCTCTGGCCTTTAGCCAAGGGGGTGCTATGGTGGCAACGCAGCCCGGCAACCAGGCGAGGGAGCTTTGCCAAAAAGTGGTGAAGCTATAGGGGAAGAGAGGGGGGGGGCACTGCGGAGCCGTTAGCTACTGCCCTGTGGTGTTATGCAACTTCATGTACACACACCCACGCACATTTATAGGGTGACAAACACACACAATCTGCTTCTTTTTTTTCTCCCTCACACACATCCGGAAGCTGTGCATAGTGATGCTCAAACCAGTATAAGCTCCAGATAATGTCCCTAAGTACTGATTATGAAATGACATAACAGATTTCTCCGAACAGCCCCCGTTTGACTGATGCAGTGCTACACTGTTCAATGTGCTGATTTTACGGAGTCATGTTACGAAGACAAGAAGCATATAAGTTTCTGAGTCATTGATTTGTGGCCACTAGGGGACAGAGGAACATCAAAACAAGCAGACGGTCACTTCTTAGACTAACCATCATGGCTACTAAAGTTGGCTGCTTAAATCCCACAGGGAACAAAATTAGCAAAAATTAGTATTCTGTTTCTGTCCAACTATCAAATGTAAGTCCAATATTTACTCTCCTTTCAACTCTATTTTGGTCCCCACCATCTTCTGAGAACTGCTAGCTTAGCTGTTAAATGTTCAAATAGCTAGTCACCTGCCTGCTGTTCGGTGCTGAGGAGATTGTATACTGTGGGTTTAACGAAAACAAGTTAAAAAATGAGACAAAATTATACTAAAAATGTCCAATAAAACCAAAACAATTATCTTAAGGGGCTAAAAGACCACAAAAAGCTTGAGCGATTGGTGTTTATCCTCTGTGATTTAGCCCTATTGACTATAGGATCGTTTTTTTATACAGGTTTGATGTTTCTTTGATTTAATATTAATAGACAATGCAATACATATACTTTATACATAACCATGCCTGTCTGCCAAGCGCATTTGAAAATCAAACCACATTTTTGGAATAGGCTAGGTCAGTAGCCCCCGCAGTGAGCTAGCTAACACTATGGAGCAAAACTTGGCTTCCACAAGTTTAGGGTAGGCCATAATCATTATTGTCACTTGGCAATCTTCATTGTGTCTTCATTGCTAGCAGCAGTGGTTGCATTTTTAAGCCATGAGAGGGCTTCGAACTCTAGTTTTAACAACCGCAACAGCAACAGTTTTTAACCACTTTACTTGCAATGTTTATATTTCTATTGAAACTCTCGTTAGACATCATATTATGCAATGTTGTATAGTTAGAAGGCTCATATACAGCTTGTGTGTGCTCTTCTAGTTTTGTTTGTGCCGTTCTAACAAGTTTGCCTTTGTGTCTTACAGGCAAAGTGAAAAAGGATATAAAAGTGTTGAAGAGGTCCCCACCTGGGAGCAGAAGTGCCGCCTAAACAGCATTTATCTGCTAGGATCTGCCAAAGGACGCGTTGGACACACTCTCAAGTCCTCAAACAAAAACTGCTAAATCCAAGGAGCTAAAAAAATAAAAAGCCAACCGCTGGCTCCAGCAAGTGGACAGATTTTAAAGTAAAAACACGGCTGGACAGGGGGAGGGTTGTATGGGTGCCAAATCCCCATCCAAGACTCACCACACCTCCTCGGTCTACGGCCTCCCTCCTCTTCCTCCCTCCTCTTCCTCCCTCCATTGCCTCCTCCGCCTCAGCTCTTCTCTCATTCCCCCTCGTTCTCTCTCATGGGAGTGACATAGAGGCCGTCGCTTGGTCTACTGCCCCGCCCCTTCCCCTCCCCTTCCCCGCCTCGCCGCGGAAACGGGGGGGTCCAGGTAGTAATGTCGTGGAAGAGGAACTACTTTGCGTCGGGTGGCGGAGCAGTAGGAGGGGTGCAGGGGCTGGTGACCCCGAGAACCATGACCTCTATTGCACCCAGCAAAGGCCTGAGCAACGAACCGGGACAGAACAGCTGCTTCCTCAACAGTGCTCTGCAGGTCAGTCGGATAAATGCACACACACACACACACACACACACACACACACACACACACACACACACACACACACACACACACACACACACACACACACACACACACACACACACACACACACACACACACACACACACACACACACACTGACACACTGGAAGACATTTCCATCACAATACTTTAAAAACAACTAACACTTTAAAAATACAACCTCCTATACTAAAAATATGTTAGCAGTAGTTTCCTGTATGATGTCTTAAATGACTACAGCTGTTTCGCTAATACTCTCCATACTTGCATACTGAGAACATTTTAAAAGTCGCAATTTTTTTGTCTTCATAATGTCAGACAGGAAATACTTTCTGCACCAACCGCACAATGCTAGCACACACACTCATGCTCCCACAGTTTAAATGCCCCCCCCCCCCCTCACACTGCAGTAAATTGATATTTAAGCACTGCAGGGATGAGATTAGGACCATATTATCGGGTGTTTGCGTGTTTCGGTGGGTTTTGGCACCGCTGCCAGTCTGGCTTCAGTGTGGACATCCAGTCTGTGTGTGAGGATGCTTACACTGCGCTGCTACTGCTGCAGCTCCTCTCTCTCTTTACACACACACACAACTCGCTTCCCTCCTCCCAAGACTTCCAGCTGGCATAAACTTATGTTCTGTACACGCGCACACACACACACACACACACACACACACACACACACACACACACACACACACACACACACACACACACACACACACACACACACACACACACACACACACACACACACACACACACACACATACATACACACACACACACACACACACACACACACACACACACACACACACACACATATATACACATACACACATGCCTCTTGACTATTGGCTTGAAGAGAGAGAGAGGAGTAGGGTGAAAAGGGAGGGGGATGATGGGGCAGAAGCTTAGGGAGAGTTGCAGAGCGCAGAGGGATAGACGAGAAGAAGAAAAGTTGCTGAAGGAGGAGAAGAGAAGAAAGAGGGATGAGGAGTATACAGTATGAAAAAGCTGAGGAGAAGAATACAGGGGATACTGCTGGCAGAAAGAGTGGAAATAAAGAGTCTGATAAGGTAGGGGCAAAAACAAAAGAGCGTTTGTGGTGAGAGGATAAGAGAAAGATGAAAAGACAAAGTGAAGGACGTTTCGTTTATATGTGAAATTAAGAAGATGCCTCAACAAAGGAGGTGAAGCGGCTTCAACAGGGAGAGAAGTGGGCCAAGGACACACACAGTACACATGTACACACATGCACACACACACAGGAGAGAGGACACAGGCAAGTGAGGATAAACGTAGATGCTGTTTCCCAGTTTCTCTGTGCCGTGTTTGCATGTGAACTTTCTGCTGACATTGTCTAGATAGAGTTGAGTTAGCCAACATGTGTGCGTGAAACATGAGAGTAAAAGTTCATGTTAAGAACATCTCAAACTAGAATTTGCTTCCTTGGTCTATAAAATGTTAAAATGCAAAATGTTAAAAAATGTAAGTATCCATCGCATATTTACAGAGCTTAAAATGATGTCTTGAATATAAGGTTGGACAAAAACAGATACAACCGATTACAGCAAATCCTCAAATTTGAGAAACACATTTTTTTTGTTTTACTTGAGAAATGTAATTGAATTACTGATTGGTGTAATTTAAGTTAATTTATTTCTCAAGTACAAATAAAATAAGTGCTGTGATTAAATCTGCTGTGGAGCTGCGTGCATTTATTTTCATAGTGAAAAATGTCCATCCAAGTTTCGCAAAGTCCAAGGTGATGTCTTTAAATGTCTTGGTGAGTCCAAAACCCAAAGATGTTCATCTTAATATGACATAAAACAGTGAAAAGTAGAAGGTATTCATATTTGAGAGGCTGCCAACTGCAGTTTTTGCTAGAGCGATTAAGCTACTATCTAAATAGTTGATTTACTAATCAATAAGTTGACTAAGCAGTGCAGCTCTTATTTGCTGCAGCGATGTTTTCTCCTCAATGCACTTATTGATAGTAAGTGAAACAGTGCTGCTGCCCCCCTGGCCCCTGAGGGCCCCTCACTGCTGCAGTGGAGCTGCTGGATGGCAGCAGCAGCATTAGCAGTGTTCTTTTGATTTGGATGTGTAACATTTTAATGAGAGAAAGCAAAGTGCCGTGAGGTGTAGTGTATGTGCTCAGCATATTTTCACATGGGTTCACTCATCGTGTGTGTGTGTGTGTGTGTGTGTGTGTGTGTGTGTGTGTGTGTGTGTGTGTGTGTGTGTGTGTGTGTGTGTGTGTGTGTGTGTGTGTGTGTGTGTGTGTGTGTGTGTGTGTGTGTGTGTGTGTGTGTGTGTGTGTGTGTGTGTGTGTGTGTGTGTGTGTGTGTGTGTGTGTGTGTGTGTGTGTGTGTGTGTGTGTGTGTGTGTGTGTGTGTGTGTGTGTGTGTGTGTGTGTGTGTGTGTGTGTGTGTGTGTGTGTGTGTGTGTGTGTGTGTGTGTGTGTGTGTGTGTGTGTGTGTGTGTGTGTGTGTGTGTGTGTGTGTGTGTGTGTGTGTGTGTGTGTGTGTGTGTGTGTGTGTGTGTGTGTGTGTAGCAGTGAGGAAGAACATTAATAAGCCAGAATACCTTGTTTAATTATAGTCACATTATTTTCAAATATCACATGTTTTATAGTATCTATCTATCTTCTGTTGAGGTATACAGTAGCTACTGTTTTTTTAATCATGTGCCTTTATACAGATGTAGTGTAACTAAATGTGACAATATGCTGCAAAAATTACTTCAATATTGGGTTGAATATCCCGCAGTGTGGAAAACCTTTAAGAAACAAGCAGGCATTAATTTGATCTGAAAGATACATTCAGTATGAAGCATGCAGTATCACAGATATATTACTACTATTTTGGAACAGAATAATGTCTCATGTTTAAGGCCAGTAGAAAATAAACAGTATTTGCTCATAACAACTGCCATTATGTTACATTTCCATGATTGGATTTAGACACTAGCAGCACTTGATTAAGGTAAAGCAAATATCACAATTCTGGTTTAACATAGGCATCTCTTATTAAAAGCAAAGTGTAATATACTCAGCAGGTGATGAAGATAGAGGATGAAGATAGAGCAGGTGCAAAGGTGGGTGTGGATGTCAGAGGATGATGAGAGGCTGAACAAATGACCTTCCTTCACACAAGACATTTTGAACATGTCACAGTAAGAAAAGCAGAGCTGTGAATAATAAAATGATGGATCTACATTTGTATCTATCTGCTTCACTTTCAGGGTGCTAGTATTATGCATGCTGTCACACTGTAATGACTGCTGGGCCTTTGCTACAGTACTATGACACGTCAGAATATCTGCTGTGAAAACCCATCAGCCGGCAGACAGATAACCGAGGTCAAAAGGGCAGCGAAATTAAGAACTGACTGTCGTCATGGCAGCAGTATCATGTGATGCACAAAAAGCAGGAATAGGAGGTAATGGGAGACAGGAACAGGAGGTGCAGGAACAGCCGTGTAAGGCAGGGTGAGAGCCAGTCGGATCAGATAGATGCCTTTATTGCGTTAATTGAATGCAACTTGTGTCTTGTTTGAATATGATCGTTGTTTATAAGAGCGATCTGATGCTGATCAGCTGATGCACAATTGTTCTGCCTGACATTGTACCTCTCTGGGACAGCGTTTCCCATCATTAATAACACTACATTAGTCTCTAATCCAAATCTTTTTAGATTCCTCTGTGTTTACAGTTTAGTGTTTGTTTTCTGCACATTGTCAATATTTTGTTCTTTGTCATTACTAATGGCTTTCTTTATAGTTAATAACTTATTTGTCTTTTGTCGCAGTATCAAACAAAATCTGTTAATTTACCAATTATTGACATTTACAACAAAAGAAGCCATGAACTATAAACCCTTTAAAGGGGCCCTTTTATGCTAGTTTTCAGGTTTCATATTTGTACCTTGTGTCTCTACTGGGACATGTTTCCATGCTTTTAATATTCAAAAAGCTCTTTATTTTTCTCATACTGCCTGTGCTGCAGCACCTCTTTTCACCCTGAAACTAGAGCCCAGTCTCCTCTGATTGGTTAGCTGGCCGGCTCTGTTTCATTTCATTTTCATTTAATCGTTTATTTGAATAAGGACAAGTAAGGGATAATGTGCTCTTCGCGTCGGGATCCTGATCTGCCTGTCGGGTGTTCTTTTACCCATAATGACCGCCTCGCTGCACATCCCTTACTTAATGAACACTTCAGACAAATAATGTTTCAAGTGTAAATATGCCGGATTTTATCTTTGAGCTAATTTCCATCCGTAGTCCCTGGGATTGGTCAACCGCTTAAAGAGGTCCCGCCCCTTAGCCTATCACGTACAATGTGTTGAAGCATTAGCCAACAGAAGCGCAAATGTTACGTAGTGTTGTCACTATGTTCCAGAAGTAAACATAGGACTACAATAGAGGCGTTTCAGGCAGGGTCAGGGGGAGTGTGTGGGAGAGAAAATCTCTGGAGGGAACTTGGGGAGTTTAGCCTTTGCAGACTATTTACATAAATAACACCCAAGAAAGCATAATATGTCCCTTTTTGAACAAAGCAAATACACAGAAATGCATGATAACACATTTCTAAATCTTGTCTGTTGTTACTATATCAATAAAAGAGCTATACAATGAAATGTTTGACTTTGAATTCATAAACCAAAAACTATACTGAGAGTTTATTGTACTGTGTTTGTACTGAAAGGTGTAAATGCTATAGTTCTATTTGGTGTGGTATGAACCATAGCTTATGTTGGCTAATCTTAGCAACCTTCCAATAGATATAGCTGTGTAACTGTACACACTTAACTGTACACACTACGCTTAGCCGCTATTCCATAACAGTGACTTTTGGCCACAGTTGCTGCTAATCATTAAAGGTTTTTTGACAGTTGAGGTCCCTCAGGGCAAACATGGTCTCTAACTTCGGCTTGTTTTTGGCTCATCCAATTGTGATGTGTGTTGTACCAGAATGTCATGTTGTGGTTATTCACTCAGAAAAATATGTTGACATTGGCCTGGTGGATTTGTTCGGTAACAGCATAACATTGCGAGAAATCTGCAAACATGGCAACATAGCAATCAAAACTAAAGATAATTCTTGAATTAGCGCGGTATTAAATATTCTCCTTAAAGCTTTTTATCTCACACTTTCCTTTTGTCTCGACAAACAATGAGACAGGAACTCCTCTCTTAAGACTACTACAGCCAATCAAATACCGGCTTTTGTCATTACATGAACATCAAGCAGCTACAAGATAACATACAGATAAAAACATGGTAGAGTCAATTTATATTCTGTGTACGTTTCCATCACTTTGTAAGTTAGTTAATTATATATGGTACTTCCTAGGTAATTATCATTTTAAATAGCCAAATATGGAATCAAGCTCTAGCCCTAACTGTATAGGGGTTTGAGTTGAATAGCTATCAAAAATAGCAATATCAGCGATATCCTTCTACAGTGATAGTAAAATAACTTATGTCTTCATTGCCGGGAATTTTTTACTGTAAACAGAATTTATTTTTGTTACAGTGATAGTTTCCTTTCTCTGAGATCCTCCTGCGGATAAAACGAGAGGAGTTCAAAGGGAAGGGAGGGAACAACAAGCGAAACAAATGGAAGGAAAGCAGAGAAAGAGATAGACGTGGTTAATAGGAGGAGAAGAAGAGATGGATCTGATGGAGAGAGATGGGCATGGAGAGAGTGTGCCCTCCTTGTGGCTGCTGCAGTGCTGTGCAGGACGCCCATTCATCACGACCAAATAAACTACAGAGAGAGGAGGGGCAAACAGAGAGGGGGGGGGGGGGGAGTTAGAACGCATACACTAGTGTCAGCATGCAGTCTGTCATTCTCCGCCCCCTTCTTCCCTCCTCACCACTCACACACACAGTGCAGACTTGTATTGCTAAGGTTGCCTCACATATTGGTTTTGTGTGTGTCTTGCGTGCATTTAGACCTGTGCGTACTGTAAGTGTGTGTGTGCTGCAGAGAAGCCTCAGGGACAGTGTTCTGTCAATATTATCTTTCAACATACGGAATGAATGTAGTGAGAGCTCTTTCCTCTAATTACGCACCATGCAGACCTCTTCTCTATAGTTTCAAAATGTCTCTTTTCTGTTGTGCTGGTAGATTTCTGTCTCTCTGTCCCACTGGATCTCTCCATCTGAATATACACAAAGTAGAAAACACACTCAGTGGGATATGCTGGAGAAATAATTAGCTACAAATGGTTGAAAGCAACACAGCTGCATCCAGGGGTGTTGATTCTCTGTAACCATCTCACTTTATACAACGGGAGTTAAAAGTTATTAATTATTTTCTGTTTGAAGCTTCGGAGTAGATTTTTACCCTAACTCTACACATTTGGGTTACTTTACAAAGCATTTAAAGGTAGACAAAACATCAATTATAGTCATGAATAAACAAAAGAACAATAATTTACTACAGTGCTGACACCAGGATGGTAGCATCATTTTTCTAATATGCAAATGAAATCAAGAAGGCTCAAAACTAAATAATTTGGCTCCCTGAACTGAAAATATATCAGAACAGCACATTTCCAACATGTGACTGAATGTAAACAATGGTCTGTTATTCTGACTGAGATCTCACATACACAATGTATTAAGATCGCACATTTTCCTTTTTTTAAACACTGTAAAAATAAGCTTTTTCCTTCAAAACTTTACATCACTCGCTCCGTCAGTTGCTATTTCTGACTGCTGTGCACCCAGAAAGCATGTTGTGTTACTATGGTAACTGGCAACCATGAGCTGTCATGTCACCAATCTTAGCGACGGCACACTGTAACTAACAAGATGCTTTTTATATCTGTTCCAAGACATGAGAGTTGTAGCCAATGTAAGTAAGTCTTGTTTTAATGCTGTTATAATAAACGTTGTTACAATGGTAAGATAAGAACATATCAATAATTATCTCAATCTACTGTACATCAGTGGTAACCAAAATATGAACTTACCAAGATAAACATGCATTCTTTTAAAAACGGAAATACGGTGGCTGACAGTCAAACACGTTACAACGGTCCAGAACACTGCAATTAGGAGGAATGCACTGCAGTTTCAAAAACTATGCAAATAAAAAACTGCCGCTTGTTGATATTCGGAGATTTAGAAGTTGGCCAACTGTGAAAATGTACGTTTTATTGGCATATTTTAACGATGTGATCGCTTGATTCCTAATGACATCTCTGCTTGTCTAGCTGACATCTCTCAGTGGATGTCTGCTCACCACCTCAAGCTCAACCTTGACAAGACTGAACTGCTTTTCCTTCCGGGAAAAGATTGTCCCACTCTTGACCTAACAATCAACATCGGCACCTCTGTTGTTTCCCCGACTCAGACTGCAAGGAATCTGTGTGTGATCCTAGATAACAAACTGTCCTTCACTGCAAACATCGCTGCTACAACCCGTTGCCACAGATACACGCTTTACAACATCAGGAGGATACGTCCCCAGCTGACCCAGAAAGCGACGCAGGTTCTGGTCCAGGCTCTCGTCATCTCACGCCTAGACTACTGCAACTCCCTCCTGGCTGGTCTACCTGCATGTGCCATCCGACCTCTGCAGCTCATCCAGAATGCAGCTGGGGGACCCTGATGTAAACAAGACGAAAGTCTTTCTCTGGTCTGCATCCCCTTAACAATTGTATGTTTTGAGCTGTACTGTACTGTACCCAATATACAAGCTGTTAATAAACTTTTCAATCAATCAATCAATCAAGCTGCCCGTCTGGTCTTCAACCTTCCTAAATGTTCCCACACCACGCCGCTCCTCCGCTCCCATCACTGGCTTCCAGTAACTGCTAGAATCCACTTCAAGACAATGGTACTTGCGTACCATGCTGGAAATGGATCTGGCCCTTCCTACATCCAGGACATGGTTAAACCGTACACCCCAGCACGTGCACTCCGCTCTGCATCAACCAAACGGCTCGCTGCACCCTCGATGCGAGGGGGACCCAAGTTCCCATCAGCAAAAACACGTGGGTTTGCTATCCTGGCTCCTAAATGGTGGAATGAGCTCCCCATTGACATCAGGACGGCAGATAGCTTACACACCTTCCGGCGCAGACTGAAAACTCATCTCTTTCGACTCCACTTCAAGCGATAGAACTATTAACAAAGAACTGCTAACAGAGCACTTATATACAAATAAAGGACTGGCTTATCTAAAGCCAGTTGAGTAGCACTTGAAATGTTTGGCTCTATGAAACCTGATGTACTTATATGATTCTGTTTTCTTCAAGGTTGTGTCTTCCTGGTCGAATGCACTTATTGTAAATCGCTTTGGATAAAAGCGTCAGCTAAATGTAATGTAATGTAATATTCTTGCAGATCTGCTGTAGCTAACGTAGCTAAACAAATCATTAAAAAATATACTGACAAACACGAACAGATATGAAACAGAATAACCCTGAGTGACAGTTGGCCAACTTTATAATCTCCAAACGTCAACAAGTGCTCCTGTCCCAGCTGTGTGTATCACTTTTTAGTGTCCCCGTTTCCGTTGTGTTTTGAGCTACTTGTGTTTTTTTATTCGCAGCATTTTGAGTTTGCAGCGTTTCGTTTTATGCAGCGCTTCAGTAAACGCTGCACATGTTTCGTCAAGATGGTGAATGTTTTTTGTAAATGCTGCGTGTGTTTGTCGAGATATTTCTTCATTTGTTAGTGTTTCAGAATTTGTGTGTTTTTTATATGCTTTGTTTTTTAAACTGCAGTGCTTTTCTCCCAATGGAAGTATTTTCGGCCGTTGTAGCGCGTTTGCACCAGGTTTGCACCTGTCGGCCACCATACTCAAAGTTCAAGCAGGAAGAAAGCAACATCATGTGAAAGAAACAAGTTGCAAACCCTTAAGAAAGTTAAAATACTAACTATTACAAGTTTTGCCTGGACTGTCCTTTTTCTCTTTGAAGCACACCGGATGACAACTCATCCATAGGACTGACGAAACACAATTACACATTTAAATATTAATAAACTGCTGTTACTGAGAGAAAAAAGACAAAAAAAAGAGAGAGGAAGGCGACCAACCAGTGAGACCTGGGACAAAACATCTCATCAATTGTAGCTAACTAAAATAAACAATATTATTATTATTAAAAAGTAAATACAATTCCTTTTATTTGTGAATAAATGTGTGTTTTGTCTCTCAGGTTCTGTGGCATCTCGACATCTTCCGCAGAAGCTTCCGACAGCTGACCACACACAAGTGCATGGAGGACTCGTGTATCTTTTGTGCTTTAAAGGTATAACACACTCTCTCTTTGTTCTCTTTTTACTGTAGTGGCCATTACTCTGCTGTGTTGGCGGTGACACAGTGGTTATCTCAGTTTTTCTCCTGTTGTCAGAAATGTAAACCAGACGGTCGTTACTGAAGTGGTGTACCTCACTTATGAGGTACTTTGCTTAAGTGTTTCCTTTTCACTTCCTACATTTCCTCCGACACATATCAGGGGGATACACGGTGCTGCATTTATCTGACAGCTAGAGTCGGCAGCTTTTCCCTCCTTTTATTCTTTTATTCCATCTTTTTGTTTGGATACCCAGAGGTACTGTTGGAGAGACCTATCTCCTCGCAAACACAGCTGGGGGGGATTCTTGCATGGTGTTATGTAACTGCTGAAAACAATACCTTTGATAGTTGTTTAAAAAAGCAGAAATAAAAGAGCTTTTGATCACAAACATTTCAATAAGTACCCGCTTCATTACATTACATTACATTACATTACATTACATTGCATTTAGCTGACGCTTTTATCCAAAGCGACTTACAATAAGTACATTCGACCAGGAAGACACAACCTTGAAGAAAACAGAATCATATAAGTACATCAGGTTTCATAGAGCCAAAACATTTCAAGTGCTACTCAACTGGCTTTAGGTAAGCCAGTCCTTTATTAGTATAAAAGTGCTTCGTTAATAGTTCTAACGCTCGAAGTGGAGTCGAAAGAGATGAGTTTTCAGTTTGCGCCGGAAGATGTGCAAGCTATCTGCCGTCCTGATGTCAATGGGGAGCTCATTCCACCATCTTGGAGCCAGGACAGCAAACCCACGTGTTTTCGCCGATGGGAACTTGGGTCCCCCTCGCAGCGAGGGTGCAACGAGTCGTTTGGCTGATGCAGAGCGTAGTGCACGCGCTGGGGTGTACGGTTTAACCATGTCCTGGATGTAGGAAGGGCCAGATCCATTCGCAGCACGGTAAGCAAGTACCAGTGTCTTGAAGTGGATTCTAGCAGTTACCGGAAGCCAGTGAAGGGAGCGGAGGAGCGGAGTGGTGTGGGAGAATTTAGGAAGGTTGAAGACCAGACGAGCCGCTGCATTCTGGATGAGCTGCAGAGGTCGGATGGCACATGCAGGTAGACCAACCAGGAGGGAGTTGCAGTAGTCTAGGCGTGAGATGACGAGAGCCTGGACCAGAACCTGAGTCGCTTTCTGAGTCAGCTGGGGACGTATCTTCCTGATGTTGTAAAGCGTGTATCTGCAGCAACGGTTTGTAGCAGCTATGTTTGCAGTGAAGGACAGGTTGTTATCTAGGGTCACACCCAGATTCCTTGCAGTCTGAGTCGGGGAAACAACTGAGGTGCCGATGTTGATTGTTAGGTCAAGAGTGGGACAATCTTTTCCCGGGAGGAAGAGCAGCTCAGTCTTGTCAAGGTTGAGCTTGAGGTGGTGAGCAGACATCCACTGAGAGATGTCAGCTAGACAAGCAGAGATGCGTGCAACGACCTGGGTCTCTGAGCGGGAAAGGACAGAATTAATTGGGTGTCGTCAGCGTAGCAGTGGTAAGAAAAACCATGCGGGCTAATGACTGATCCGAGCGAGTTTGTGTACAGGGAGAAGAGGAGGGGACCAAGAACAGAGCCCTGAGGGACCCCCGTAGTTAATTGACAAGGGTCGGACTCAGACCCTCTCCAAGTCACCCTGTAGGTAAGGTCTTTCAGGTATGAGGTGAGGAGGGAAAGTGCAGAGCCTGAAACTCCAAGTTTTTGGAGAGTGCGAAGGAGGATCTGATGATTCACCGTGTCGAATGCAGCAGACAGGTCCAAAAGGATGATGACAGAGGAGAGGGATGCAGTTTTGGCAGTGTGCAGTTCCTCCGTGACAGCAATGAGAGCAGTTTCTGTGGAGTGACCTGCCTTGAAACCAGACTGGTGCGGATCCAGAAGGTTGTTCTGATTGAGATAACAGGAGAGTTGTTTAAAGACAGCGCGTTCAAGTGATTTAGACAGGAACGGGAGGAGAGAGACAGGCCTGTAGTTTATAACATCAGACGGGTTGAGAGTGGGTTTCTTTAGGAGAGGGTTTACTCTTGCCTCCTTGAGACTGTTTGGAAAGTGACCAGAAGTTAGAGAAGTGTTGATGAAGTGGGTGAGAAACGGTAGAATATCAGGAGCGATAGTCTGAAGGAGGTTTGAAGGGATAGGGTCCAGAGGACAGGTGGTAGGGCGGGCAGAGGTAATGAGGGTAAGAACCTCACTTGGAGAGAGAGGGGAAAAGGAGGTTAGTGTGTGGGTGGAAGGAGGGTCTGGTGACCCAGCGGTGAGTAAAGGTGAGTCAGAAAAAGAAGAGCGAATATCATCAACCTTTTTTTCAAAGTGGGTAACAAAGTCGCTTGACAGAAGTGAGGAGGGGGGGGAGGAGCTTTTGGAGGGTCCAAGAGGGTGGAGAAGATGGAAAATAGTTTTTTAGGATTGGAATAGGAAGATTGGATCTTATCTTGAAAGAAAGTGCTTTTTGCCTGAGAGATCGAAGCAGAGAAAGAGGAGAGGAGAGCCTGATAGGTTAGGAGGTCGTCACGGTGTTTGGATTTCCACCATTTCCGCTCTGCTGCCCTAAGGACGGTTCTATTAGCACGCAGTGCATCATTTAGCCAGGGAGCAGGAGGGGACTGACGAGCCTGCCGAGATGTGAGAGGACACAGCGAGTCCAGAGTGGATGAGAGAGTAGAGAGGAGAGTTTCTGCAGCAGAGTTTGGAAGCAGGAGTTGGAAGGGAGGGCTGAGAGCACCGACGAGGCAAAGGTAGAGGGGGAGAGGGAGCGAAGGTTACGGCGGACAAGTGTAGGATGGGAAGAGATTAGTTTGTTATGTTTGGAAAGGGATAGAGAGAATGAAATGAAGAAGTGATCGGATGTGTGGAGCGGGTTTACAGAGAGGTTAGAAGTAGCGCAGTTCCTTGAGAATATGAGATCAAGGACATTGCCAGCTTTATGAGTCGGTGGGGACGGAGACAGTGAGAAAGCAAAGGCGGTTAACAGAGATGTTAGTTCGTCTATCTTCCCCGTCTGGAGGTTGAAGTCTCCGAGAAGTACAGCGGGAGGACCAGTTTCAGGGATGAGTGAGAGGAGATTATCTAATTCCTCCAAGAAGTCCCCCAAGGCGCCTGGTGGACGGTAGAGAACAACAATGGTTAACTGTATAGGATGGGTTACTGTGACGGCATGGAACTCAAAGGTGGAAGGAGTGAAGTTAGGTAGCTTGAAGAGGGAAAAGCTCCATTTGGGAGAGAGCAGGAGACCAGTGCCACCTCCTCTGCCAGTGAGTCTGGGCTTCACTGATATACTTCTGACAGTGAACATAGAATTTACATAAAATGAAGTTTAACTGGCTTATGATAATACCTGTATATCATTTATTACTGACCACTCACCATTACTCATTATGTCTCGTCGTTTACTTTTTTCGTACCCTTTTTCTTCATTTGTAGTATGACACGTTGAGGAAGTGTGACATTTGTGGCAGGGGAGTTGGGCGTCGTCTCCAGTTCTTAACATACAGTGTTAAAAAAACAGCGGTAGTATGATTGATAGTGTTATTTCTTCTCATTGATGGTTTAATTTTCCTTTAACCCTTGGTTTGCTAAACCTTGTTAAGACTTGCACGAGACTCACTGCCTAACAACCTATCCTCACAAAAGTTTTATAAATGAAGGGTTACCAACTAAACACAACTTTAAAATGTCCTCCCTAAACTCAACACATGCGCCGAGACATGCATAAATGTTTATTAATTTGCTAAACTACAGTACAACACTTCACTACAGCACTACAACTACAACAGCCCCAGACATAACAGTGCAGTGGGAAATACCAAAATAATGTTTAGTTATTATGATTTTTTAACGTTTAATCACGCTATAACTAATTAAAACTGGGGGTTGGTTTGGTTTGATTTAAAGGATTTACTGACATGATCCGAGCTTGTTCTGAATTTTCGGGTCATCCTACTCCTTAGGTTCCTTTCTTTGTTGTATCACCTCCCCTTTCCTTCTACCCTTGTGCTCTTCCTATTTTGTGTCCTTCTTCCTCTTTATAAACTCTTGTTTCCTTTATCAAATTACTCTCATCTCCCTCAAAATTAGTATTGTTTCCTTTTAACCATTTGAATGCAGGACTTAGGGAAGTTTATCCCTGTTGTCTTGCTTTTATCTCCTTTCTCCATTTTGTCACGCACTATGCAACAGATAGTTTTTCCCTCTGAAGAGCTGCGTTACAAAAAGGTTTTAGAAAGAGCGCACAGTCATGGCCGTATCCACCATTGAGGTCACCGAGGTCCGGACCTCTGTAATATTTTCCGAGCTGTGTATAACAAAACTTGTGAAATAATTGCACTAAACGGGGTTCTTTGTAGTACTTCCATTTACTGCCGATGGGGGCGCTGCATAACTACGTAGCCTCGATTAATGCAAACCGAAGAAGATGACATGTATCAACAAACCACCGCAGCCCGGACTTGTACCGGAGCAGCGGAGGAGTGATGAGGTATCTAGAGATCTGAGTCCAGCGGGCTGCTTGTGTTTCTGCTCATCAGGACATCATATGAGCAGCAGATCCTGTGTGAACGCTCTACGTTAGTCAGTGGACGTCCGACAACATGCACACTAACTTATATTGCAGCTACAGGCTATACTTTGGTTTAAATTGCGTGAATAAACTAGCTAGAGAGCTAAAGCTAATTACATTCATCCAATGTCAGAAGGATTACCTTTTCAAACGTATAATGCTTTTCTTTCATTTCAATTTGAGTAAAACATTGAAGATATAACATTGTATTGTTTTCTTTTTACACTGACTCAGATATAATGAAAAGACGTCAGTCGAAGCTCAGCGTTGGTAAGGAAGAGACAGGACAGGCAGAGAGAAATAGAGAGAGAGAGAGAGAGAGAGAAATAGAGAGAGAGAAAGTGATGGAAGTCAGGGAGGAACTGCAGGTACAGTCACACAAAATAATGTATGCTTAATAACCCTATCTATTTATCTATCTGGTTTATCTATAACAATAGGCATACATTTTAAACAACATACATCTATTGCAGTTATGATGTCATAATAACATACAATTGTATAAAACACAATTTGCTTACATCTTTGTTCTCTTTTGAGAATCAAACAAAACAGATTTAAATAAAACAAAAAGTGCAAACAAACAAGTGAAATTAACTAAATTGCTGAATTGCTTTTAATTCACTGGCAGGAGCGACAAGTGAGGAGGAGCAAAAAGTGAACAACGAGGGAGAGATTGAACAAAGAGAAAGAGTAGAGGACAGAGAGAGTAATGAACAGGAAGAAGACAGAGAGACTAAAGAAGATAGAAGAGAGGGTGCAGGTTATAGAAAGGAGAGAGACATGGAAAATGAATGTTGATAATGTGTTGTGATCATTTTAGCCTCTTCTGCGTGTCCAGATCATACATAGTAACAATCAACTGATTCTTATGCATTACACTTTCAAAAATAATTGATGCTGACATTGTCAGCCCACTGACATGGTTTGAAATCAATATATTATCCAATGTGTGACCCCCCACAGGACTTAAAAAGCACCTAACGAGATCATGAAAATCCCAAAAATCTCGGGGGGTATCCCCCGAACCCCCCTAACATGTTTGGACCTCGGTATTTAGGAAATCCTGGATACGGCCCTGCGCACAGTGTACAGTTTTATAGCTTTTAGTCTCAGGTTGAAGCACTGTTGTGTTCCTGCAGCTGCTGATGGGAAGTAACCACACAGCAGATGAAGATGATGAAACTCTGGTAATGAACGAGCCTTATGCAGCTCTGTTCCAGCCATTTGTTGCATCAATGATGACAAATTTGTGTCTGAGTGAAGGAAAGTGTTTTTTGTAATGTACTGTGTGTGTGTGTGTGTGTGTGTGTGTGTGTGTGTGTGTGCGCATTGTGGCGTGGGCTCTGCTGGCTCAGCGCTTTCAGTCAGCCAATTAATTACAGAGAAGCGCTGGAGACAGAACAGTAGAACACACACACACACACACACACACACACACGTGCAAGGAACAAGTAGAGAGAAGAAGAAAAAGAAGAGAGGAGGAAGTGGGATAGAAGAAAAGAGAAAGATGAATGAATGTAGGAGCCGGTGTAGATTGCTCCTGTCTCACACACACTACACACACCTCCCTCTCTTACTCCCTCATCCTTTCCTGTTCTCCTCCTCTCCTCCCTCCCTCTCTCTGTAGGGTATATTCCCCCTCCATTCTCCTTGGCGCATTGCTGCAGTCAGCACAGCCACCATCACACACACACACACACACACACACACACACACACACACACACACACACACACACACACACACACACACACACACACACACACACACACACACACACACACCCACACACACACACACACCCCTTCTCAGTGCGACTGCATTACCTTTCCCATTGCCAACACACTCACAGACTGAAGCCTATTGTTTTATAATACTCAATCTGTTCAAAGCCATCTCGCTTCCAAAATGACAATTGTGGGTTCAGAATTTTCTTAAATAACCAAAGACAAAAAAGGGATATAGAACTAGAAAACAGAGTAAAGAAGAGGGTCCGCAGATAGGAAAGGTTTTGAGTAAAAAGAGGTTAAGTCAAAGCAGTTACAACTGGTGCTTTAACCTGTCTCTGTGGGGGATCTATAGTAGAGAGGTCATGGTAGCTAGTTGGATGTACAAAAGACAAATATGTTGGATTTATGCTACTAAATCACGAGTGATATTAGTGGAGTTGCAAAGAAGTGAGCTAGCCAGACGGCTGCAGCCTGCTGCTGAACTATTTATCTTAGCGGTTTGAGGCTACGTTAGCCGCTACTAGCATAAGACGCGTACATCTCCGACGGGAATGCAGACATCACGTTTTGGAAAGAGAGGAGAAAGCGTGGAATAAAAAACACGACGCTCCGGTTGTTCTGCAGCATCATATTTGATCATGATTTCTTAAGAAATATTAGCTTTAGTCGAGTTAAATTATTGTCAGTTTCAACAAAGTTAAAATGTTATAATATTAGACAAGTATTGAAACATCCATAAAAGAAAATTCCCTCTCCCTTAGGCCTACTCAGTAACTTCAGGTAGTCAATACACTAATCAAAGTGTAATAAAGAAATAGTCATTCTTGCTTATTTACAAGATGTATTCAACTTTCTGCTAAAGCTCTGTGATAGATTTCACACTGCAACTAAAACGGACCAGTGTGGATACAAAAAACCACAAGTCCGTGCTGATGAACTGTTAGAATATACGGTGTCCCTTAATAACATGTTTGTCAGCCTTCAGGACACCGAGCACCTGCTGCTTTTCACTCCAGTGATTGAATCACCGTGGTGACATAGACCCAGCAGAGCACTATCTAGTATCTGCTGCTCCGAAATGTCAGGCGGACTCGTGTTTATTTCTGGTTTGGGCTGTTTCAGTTTGGGTCAAAAATAATCGCCCGGCTTTTTCCAGCTGAGAATTCTCACCAACAAAGAATTAGGTCATTTTTGTCCGTTGGCAATTCGGAGGAAGTTATCCATGCTTTTATCTCTCCCTATTTAGACGTCTGCAGGTCTCTTCAGTTCAGACTCAGCCGAAATGTACACACACAGCCAGACAGTCATCTCTAACACTGTGTTGTTTGGTACTTCTTGTACTAGGCTACTAAACCTCATTTTACTTTTGCTATTACTGCAACTACTGCCACAACAACGATAACCTCAAAGTATTCAGAGACCACGAACCTCCAACAAAGCAACACAATAAAATACATTATTACAATTACAATTTTAATAACAAATCCAGATCAAACTACATACAAAGTCTTGCTGTTTAGGAGAAATTCTAAATCCTGTGAAGGAACATAATACCTTTGTACAAGGATGAATTGTGCAAAAAAAACGTTTAACAATGCATTTAAAATACAAGGCTTTTTAATATGAAAGGCATAGACATTGGCAAGACATTGTTTTAATAGTTGATGTACCAAATGTATACATTCAGTAAAACATTTCAAAAAAGTCGCTTCTCGATTTTGAGGTTTAGGACAGTTATTCCCATGTTGTTCATGGTTTGTCGTGTCTTAACCCTTTAAGCCACATGAGCATCCCATCATCTTTTTGTGGATAGTTTTACCTCTTCAGAATTTATTCAAATGACAAAATCTGAGAAACTTACAGAAACCCAAAACTTCTCACCTCTGACAAACCCTTTCCAGTAGACATTGTGCTAACACTTTATAAAGTCCACATTTATAATGCATTATGAGGGATGTGATTGTGAGAGATTACTATGTAATACATCTTGGCGTACATAATAGTCGCCTCTGATCCACCATAGATTATTTTGCAATGGAAATGCATTACACTTTACTCCCCACCCACAATGAAACATGCATTATCATCTGTAAATGAAACTGTAAATCCATCAATATGTACTTTACTTCACTTGACCCATGCACCATTAAAGCTTACTGTGAGTCCTTACTACAGTTGATTGTTGGGGTGTGTACAAGTACGCATCATGTATTTTAAGCCCTATCAGTTAAGCTCTAGTTTACAATAAAAAGCATCAATAAAGCACTTACTTAGAAGTCACATCTATAATGTTTTACGACTGTTGATTGAGTGCATTAGAAAACATAGTGGGTGTATATGGCTGAGGCTGTGGCTCAGTGGAAAATGTGCTGGACTTGGAATCAGGGGGTAGCAAGTTCGAGTCCCACTGCAGTCAGCATGTCGTTGTGTCCCTTGGAAAGACACTTCACCCCAAATTGCTCCTGTGGGGATTGTCCACAGTACTGAATGAAGTCTTTGGATAAAAGCGTCTAACAAATGACATGTAATGTATATGAGTAATGAAGCCATTGTAATTCACTAGAGATGGTGTTACTGACATGACTTCATTATAATGGGTCACATGGAAGCAGGAGCTTCAATGTGATATGGTTAAAACATGAGCACATGGTGGATTTAGCCACTCCAACCACCAATTACTGCGGTTAAAAGTCCTTCTTGACTGAACTAACATATACGCGTTATGTGGTTTTTTGATTAACTAACAGGAAAAACAAAAAAGATCAAAAAGAACCTCCTTGGCAGCGATAATTGTAATATCGCTTGTTCCTACACATGCAAATGAAGCAGCAGTATTAGGGCAGAGCAGGAAACACAGACTGGCCGTACAGTATTTTCTGGGACCTGTTGAGGCTCTGCCCTCAAAACACACTTCAGTGGCCTAGCTTTCAGTCCGAGCAGTCCGCTGCAACAGTTTGCTTCGGTTTCTATTTTATTGCTGCAAAGCGCTTCGAAAGCTGTTTTGGTCGGAGGAAAAGTGCTCTACAAACACCATCTATTATTGATACGGTCTGATATCGAGGCCAGCTGTGGCGTTGGTTTGAGTCCGGTCGGGGTTTGTTGTGCCCTGACAAGTTGACAACTAGGATCTGTGTTATGGGTCAGTTGAGAGAACACCACTTCCAATTTAAAATGTATTCAGAGAGATCTGTTGCAGTATGAGAGAAGTAAATATTCATGTGTGCATTGACACACCCACTGTACGTTTCAACTCCAACAATGTATTCCTGGAAAAGCATTTATGGCACATTGTATCTCTGCAGCAGGGAAATAAAGATGTAATGGGTTTCTATATATATGTGTGTGTGTGTTGTGTGAATGTATGTTTTCAGAGTATCTTTGCTCAGTTCCAGTTCAGCAGTGAGCGTGTACTCCCATCAGATGCACTGCGGAGCGCTCTGGCCAAGACTTTCCAAGACGAACAACGCTTTCAGCTGGGCATCATGGACGACGCTGCCGAGTGCTTTGTGAGTCTGAAACACACGCACACACGCACACACACACACACACACACACACACACACACACACACACACACACACACACACACACACACACACACACACACACACACACACACACACACAGGTTGCCTAAAGGCTTATGTGGGTGAGCAAGACTATATCTCATGTTTTCAGTGTGCTGAATGAAGCTATGGATTATGTTTTCAGTTATTTGCTTAATTAGATGGAGATAATAAGGTGAAGAACAAGATGGGAATGATTCTTATAGTATTTAAGGGACTGAACAAACCATATAATTTATTTAAAGGTAAAATCATGATCAAGTATAAGTCGCTTTTTCTTAAAGCAATACAAATCTCAGCTCTTCAGCTCGCAATAAAAATCTCAGACCTTCCTGTTGCTTTTTCTCCAACACTTTCTTTCTGCCTTAAGGAACTCCACCGTGTGTGTGTGTGTGTGTGTGTGTGTGTGTGTGTGTGTGTGTGTTTTATATGTGTCCACGGTTGGCGCTCCCTGATCGATTGGTAGTAAATGTGTTCAGTCAGGGAATCCGTAGGTTTCTTATGAAATATAGATGCTGCTCCCACGGTCAGATTAACAGGAGCACCAACAGAGAGGAACGATCAAACCCAGACACACACACACACACACACACACACACACACACACACACACACACACACACACACACACACACACACACACACACACACACTCGGTACATATGTATACAACATAATCAAGCAAATATGCCAACTGACCAAACAACACACACACATTAATTGATGTTTCTTTGTGTGTGTCTTAGGAGAATCTCCTGATGCGTATCCACTTCCACATCAGTGCAGAGAGCAGAGAGGACATCTGCACAGCCAAACACTGTATACCACACCAGAAGTTTGCCATGACTCTGTTCGAACAGGTAGGAAATAGTTCAGTCACTTTAACAAAGAGATGGGGCATGAATAGACAAAATATCGTGATATGAGACTAGATACTGTCTTAGATTTTGGATTTTGATATAGTGTGAAAGTGTTGTCTCTTGCTGGATTTAAAAGCTTCACTACAGTAAAATGATGTAATTTATCTGAGCTTACCGTACTGTAATAGCTGTCCATTTATCTACAGTACTGATGATTCATATTAAAAGTGTCATAAGTAAATATTTTGTGAAAGCACTAAAAGTCCACCCTCAAATGTATGACAACATCAATATCTAGGTATTTTGTCCAAGATATTGTATAATCGTAAAATTATATCCTATCATTTGATTTTCTCCTTCCTGCCCAGCACTACTTATATGAGTTGGTACATGTTTCACTTTTGGGACTTTCATCAAATATTTAGAAACATTTCTGAAGAACAGGATGTCCCGCTCTGAATCTGACGGTGTGTTTGTGTTTGCAGTGTGTGTGTAACAGCTGTGGAGCCACATCGGACCCCTTGCCCTTCATTCAGATGGTTCATTACATCTCCACTACATCCCTCTGGTAAGACCACACACACACACACACACACACACACACACACACACACACACACACACACACACACACACACACACACACACACACACACACACACACACACACACACACACACACACACACACACACACACACACACACACACACTGCAGTAAATCTGGCAGCTAGCTGAGGCTGTAAAGGAAGGTACAGCGTGTTCTCTTCTCCCCTGCACGGGTCCCTGCTGAACACTGAACTGTGAGCGCACACATGCACACACACATTATGCACAAAGACACACACATCAATTTTCATGCATTAGCAAAAGCAGGTAAGCTTTTGCATAATATGTCTTGAAGGTAAATCCTCACACAGGAGAAGCATCCTTAGAGCTGCAAAAACGTGCACACGCGAGTCAATGAAAGAAGGAACAGGGGAAGTAATCAATCAGCTGTTTGATTCAGTAGACCCAGGGGGCGACATAAATCTATAAGTGTAACAGTGGATCGGAAAGGCTGCGAACGAGAGGGAAATAAGAGGATATATTACTCCATATCCCTTTTGGAAATTGAACACGGCAGAGGAAATAGAGGCATGAATGGGGGGTGAAAGTACAAATAAACACGCTGTGTGGAGGCAGTGGCGGGGCACAGCGGTGCCGCCGCTCTCTGTTTGTGCCTGTTAGCACTGCCAAGCTATTTTTACCCTTTAGTGGAGCCTGTTGTTTACAGTCATGATTGCCAAATATGCAAAAGTCAACATGAGTAAGATAATCAGAGGGCAACCGAAAGACAAACAAAATTCAGTTCCATGCCCAATTCAGATATGAGTAAACAAGAGGACAAGTGTGGTGTTTTGTTTTTAAACTGCGTTCTCAGCCTCGCATCTTCCTGTACATCTGAAGAGGAGAGGTCAAGCTAGGGGTTAACATGGAGTGAGTGAGAGAGAGAGAGAGAGCATACTGTAGGAGAGGTTGAGTTCATTTCGGGCTAATGGAAGGGGTGAGAGGAGGGGAGGAGAGGGAGGAGCAGAGATTTGGATGGTTTTTAAAAATCGTTATTCTTAAAGGAATACTTCACCAGAAGAAAGCAATGCTGATTCATAGCACACATAATCACGTGCATGCATGGTACGGAGCTGCAGGCGCGCACAGGTCCATTTTGTATTCACGGATTATCATAATGTTGTTTGAGTTTGTCCTTGAGAGGACAATCGTTCTTAAAAGGGATAAATGCAGCTCAGTGTTAAAGTATCATTAAGCCTGGCTGAAGGAGATTGTCTCAAAAACAGTTTTGAAAAAAGCTTTTTTTCAAGAAATTATGCAAGCTGTAGATGAACTTTAATACAAACTAATGTTTCTGTTCTGTTATTGCTCCTCGTGAGGCAATCTTCTTTTAGCAAGACCTCTTTAGGAAGGTCAAAGATCACACAATATTATGAAACTTGCTCACAGCCTTAATGATTGTATAATCTAGATTTCCTTTTATTATTTTCCCTTCCCTTTATTTCCTTTTATTAAAGCAGATGAGAAAAAGCCTGCGGGACTGACTCAGAGTACATGTGTGGGAATAGTTGCCTAAGCAATATGCAAAGCCAAATGAACAACACATTGTAGGATTAATAGATTTTCAACAGATATTCAGCCAGGGACACCAAAGGAAATGAAACAATTGCCTGCAAATTACTGCACGGTATTGAAACAGAGAAAAAAAAACGATCGAGTTTTAAAGAATGCTGTGTGTGTGTTTGTTCCGTTCTGCAGCAACCAGGCGGTGAGGATGCTGGAGTGCAGAGAGAAAGCTACACCGGACATGTTCGGAGAGCTGCTCCGCAACGCCAGCAACATGGGAGACCTGCGCAACTGCCCTGTGAGAACACACACACACATACACACACACACACACACACACACACACACACACACACACACACACACACACACACACACACACACACACACACACACACACACACACACACACACACTTTAAAAACAACAGTGTACAAAATATAAACTGCTTTAAATATTTATTTGGACCACTCTTCTTTTTTTGTGTGTCATCAAATATGTAAAATCAGAAAATGTCTTCTTTCTAATTTGGAAAGAAGGTCCCCCCCCCAGAAAATAGAAATCCCATTTTTAAATATAATTTGCAGCGTAACCGTTGGTAGTTTTGTTGTTCTGTGTTAATCAGCAGCTCATTTTCTTTTCCTTTTTCTTTCCACTTGCTATTACCGGTAGCTTTGTCTGAGTTCTCGTCATCGCCGTCCTTCACAGTTTATGATCAACATTGTCTTGTACAATGATATCAAAAGAAAATGTAATTGTGCTGGAAACAATCGCGTTAAAAATACTCGTCCTGAAGAATGTGAGCATTTTTGAGTAAAAATCGGCTAAACAAAAACGATGAGCTTTAGATACTTTGGCTGCTGTTCTGGAGAGAGAGAGACAGAGAGAGAGACAGAGGTGTAGGATGCCTTTGTTCTGCCTGGTTGTGTTGTGCTGCCACATGGGAAGGGGCTGCGGCTGAAAGCATCCAGCTCGGCCCCGCTCTCTGCCAAAGTGTCCCCACAAAGAGCCTCTTCAGCCGGGCCCCTTCACAGAGCAGCAGCTCCACCAACACTCCGTTAGATCGTTCACGAGCCACAGTCCTGCGGGAGTCTCACCTCTGTTTATCTTCCTCCACTTGCAGCGCTGATCTTTCGTTAATACCACATCGGGCCTTGCACAAACACAGTGAGGGTATTTGGATGGGAGCGAGGCTGCTGGGAGATACTGTAGAGTGGGAGGATATTTGCTTTGTGCAAAAGAGTTGACCCAAGACTCTCGGCTGAAGTTCTAGAGTTTAATTTTACAGTTATTTAAAGTAAGCTCATATGTGTTTATTCTATTTGATATATAGATGCTGTAGTGGAAGATTTTGTTTACCACTTTATAAAGTAGCTACATTTAAAATGGTCAATATTTTTATTAAAAAGCAAGACATAATTTGTTTCCAATCCTTTTCTAACTCTAATTACTTTGATTCCTAAATTAGAACATAGTTCACATGAAAGATTTCTGCTTTTTTGTATTTTTTTGTTTTCTTTGAACTGGTTTAAAAAAGGCAGGGTGTTTATTTTTTCAGTGGTTTCACATAAAATCATAAACCAATAAGGGTTTAGCATTTCATAGGATGTAGGATATATAAATAGGATTACAATCCAAACACATTTGGGATTGTTTTTTAAATGCTCCGTTTGCTCAAAGTAAAAGTATGGAAGTAAAAGTTAAGAGGAGTGGGAGAGAAACTCCCTCAGCAGGGAACTTTGGGATTTTAGCCTTTGCAGACCATTTCAACAAACTACAGCAAAGGGAAAAAGCATAATTGGGCCCCTTTAATTTGTGCTTTAAACTAATATATTTAGATAATATGGCTATACTGTTGCCATACAGCCATGTTGTTGATCTTCCAGAGCCAAACAAGTACATACAGTATGTTTTCATACCGCCTCTGTGTAGATGTGTGGTGGTTCAATTTTCACCAATCCTACATCTGCCTCCTCAGCATCTTCATTGATAAAGCGAGATTGTCTCTTTATGTCAGTGCTGTATGGAGTCGTGAGGAATCATAAGCACAAACATTTCCCTAAACTTGTTATATTCTGCTGTGAAGAATGCCACGATCAGCATTCTGGAAACCTACAGCATCCTCTGACCAGCAGCACTGTTATATAACTCACTCTCTCCTGGAAAGGCCTGCATGGCCACGGCAAAAAAAGGGAAGAAAAAAGGAAAGTAATCTTTGCATATAACCCTCGAAGCTGAGACCACACTGATCAGCGTTGTTGAAGCAGATCTGTTTGTACGATCATGTGATGATGAGTGATATTGTCAGCGGCTTTTCCCAGCAGTGAGAGCTCACTGAGGCTGCGTGTCCTCAGCTAGCGGATAGCCTGTGTCTCGGTGCTCTGCTGTTTTGGCTGAATTTAGAAGCAGACCCTGGCAAAATACCTTCCTGCCATCTCGGTGCCAGCGCAACACAGCATGCCGCCCACAAAGGCAGAGCTCTGTGTGTGTGTGAGACTGTTGTGTTTGGCAAAGTGTGTGGTTGCCAGGGTGTTCTCAGGCTGTTTCCGAGCACACTCTGCCAGCACTGCATGTGTGTGTGCGCGCTTGTGTGTGTGTGTGTGTGTCCACCAGCTCTGTGGTGGGTCATGACTCAAAGGAAGGATTCAGAACACACGGTTCTGAACTCAACAGAAGGCTCAAGGGACAAATACAACTCAGCACAGCGACGCTTTCCTCTCTTACATTCCTTTATCTCTCAACCTCATTCTCAGTTTATTCGTGTGTGTGTATCTGCATGCATCTCTGCCAAATAAAGGGATGGTTTTAGCGACCACTGTGACACTAACACAGGATGAATAAACCAGTTTGATCACACGCCCCTCTTCTCTCTCCCTCTCCCCCTCCCAGAGTAACTGTGGGGAGGTGCTGCGTATCCGCCGGGTGCTGATGAACTCTCCAGAGATCGTGTCCATCGGCCTGGTGTGGGACTCGGACCACTCTGACCTGGCGGAGGACGTCATACACAGCCTGGGAACCTGCCTGCGTCTGGGAGATGTGAGGGGACCACACACACATAACACGCACACACACATAATACGGTCAATAAATACATTAGCATATGTTACACATGTCTCTGAGAGCAGCCAAGCACGTACACCCGAACACTGACATAAATATAAATAAACTACCACTCCAAAATAAAATATTCTGCCACATTTTTTATTTATCCTCTGTTCTCCTAATAGATATTTTGTTGACATACAATAACATAACCGTCCTTGTTTTTTGGTAACATTTGTCAAGTGAAAATATTTCAGATATTTTTAATTAGACAAATCCATCAAAAAAACTATAAAAACTCACCAATGGTTATCAATTTATTAAAAGAATATATATATATATATTTATAATTCTTCAAAATCTGTGTTATGGGATGACCAAGCAGAAATTATTAGAGTCCAGGTGCTTCTGTGTATCAGATTTTACTCATACTTATATATTTGGGTTGAGTTTGGTCCACAAGACTTCTGAGAATATTTTACTTTTAGAGAATAAGTTCTCTAAGGAATAAGGATCAGATTGTACCCTCTTTTTTATATTTGATCATTTTGGTTCATGAGATTTTCAACAGCAAGTCAAATGTGGACCTTCAGACCACAACATATTAAAAGTACTTTTTTGCTGCAAACGCTATAGTTACGTTTCCGTCTTAATTCCCATGGACATCACATTCAAATAACATGGGCCAAATTGACTCCCCTTAAAATATTTTAGCTTCTTAAACCAGATTACAATCCTTTTTTTCCCTAGGCTTTAGGCTTACTCTTACTTATTACATATTTTCTGCGTGGGAAGTCGAGTACCGCAGGCTACGTGATATGTTAAGTTTAAGTGCTTGAATCGTGACGAGTGGCAATGATATCTGATGTGGCCTTGCTCCCATTTCATGAATGGATAATTAGTTTTTTCTTCCTGCCTGTCATGAAAGGGAAGAAAAAAAGAAAAAAATTGGTCTTCTATATTAAAAATGTGCAACATAGGCAGGGCTTTCTATAAAAAAATAAATGACAGGACCTTAAGACGGCTCCTGTAATCACTTGAACACAGACTTTTGTCTCAGCCGGTCATGGTATACATTTTTTATTTCAGCACATCGGCTACACAGAAATGCCAATATTTGTTTATACAGTAAATAGTTGAATATTCAAATAAATGCTGATCCACACTTAACAACAGTCCTCCGTTGGCACACAGCTGAACTCTCCCCCTATGGAGAGGGCTTAACACTTGACATACTTTTACAGGCATGGACGTCATATAGTGACATAGGAAGTGGATATCAATCTGATGGCTTGATGACGCAGGCAGGCTAGAACAAATATTTAATTTAATAGTTTTTGGGTTAGTTGGAACTCCAGAAACCCTGATGTATTTTCACACGCAGGAAAAAGTATGATTAATATTATATTTCCTCTCTAAATAAACCAGAAACTTAACCCCCATATCAGAGGTGCAAATACCCGAGGCATGTTGAAACACACACTAGTGGTCCAGCATCGAGATATAAACACTTTCAAGGACACACATATACTACTAGAAAAACACAGTTGTGTAAATGTGTTCAACACTCAAATACACACTTAATGACAATCATAAATACAGAATACAACCATGTGCATGCGTCAGAGGCCAGGAAACTCGACCAATCCCGTTGCAGATCACACTGAAATGAGAAATTATAACACACGCCACACAATGGAACACCTGACTTCCATTATTCTGTTAGAGCTTCTGCTTTCACACCTCTCACATACACACACACACACACACACACACACACACACACACACACACACACACACACACACACACACACACACACATACTCACGACCCCTGATACTCTGTGTCATGACTGAGTAATGTTGATGCATTTTAATACCACTGTAACATCTCCAGATGCATTCTGAAGCGATACCCATGAATAATGGATCAGTGAATATGACTATGTGTTACAATGAGTCAAGTTCTTCCCTCTATCTTCTATCTTCCCTCTCCGCCCGCCGCCGCTTCCCCTCGTTATCATCCCGCGGTTGCGAGATGAAGCTAGTTGTCAAATACAAATCGGAGGCACAATCTATCGCATTCTCTGCTTTTGTCTGCGCGTTCAAATCAGCGGAAGTGAATCCATCTGCCTCCTGAATCCCTCATCCTCTTCCACTGCTTTCACTTTCTCTCTTTGTCTGTCCTGAGATTTCTCTCTTCTCAGCTTCCCTGGTACACTTTCATGTTCTATCCCTCCTCTATTAGATTGTTGTAGTCCTGAAACGATTCATCTTTTACAATAAATAGATAACATTAGGTCATTTATCATAGCACTTGCTGGATCCAACTTCTAAAATATGAGGATTTTTGTTTGGTTGTATATTGAATGTCCATGAGTTTTTAGATTGTTAGTAGTGTATGGCTGCAAGATACGAGGAAGAAAGGCAATGTGGTTGAACATTGTTGGATATTGTCCTAATGACTTTACCTGGGATAAATAAACAGATACGTTTACTCAGGTCTTCTGCTTGCAGTATGCTAAACAAGTGCTTGTTGAAAAAACAAAGGGAAATATACTCATTAGTTTCCTAATGATACTAATCAACTAATACAACAACAAAAATCAGAGAAAGCCTTTTGTTAGGAGTTTAAAGGAAGTTACTTTTATCTATGGAAATTGTGTGTAAACTTATGAGGAAGAATTGACTTAATAAGGTGATCCATAATTAGAGTAGTTGTTGGTTGCATTCCTAGATCAGTGAGTAAGGATATGCTTTTGCAGCAGCATGTGAATAAAGGGCAGAACACAATAAAATAGAATGATACAGAAGGTCATGGTCTTAAACCCCTAACTTCTATCCCATTGCACTGCCTACGTAAGATGTGCAAAGCAGTAGTCTTTAATGTCAGGTCTGTCCATCATTTCTGCATTAAACTGCAGTATAAATGTGTATCACTGTGCAGTATGTACAGTATACAATGAGAGGAAAGTGAAGTATAACTGTATACAGCAGATGAACCAGGTGAGCAAAAATGTGCTTGTATTAACATTATCTCCCCCCCCTGCTGCACACCTCTCTTCCCTGCATCCCTCCCTCCCTCCCTGTCTCCTCCCCTCTCTCCCTCTCTCTCTCTCTCTCTGTAGTTGTTCTACCGTGTGACAGAAGAGAGGGCTCGCCAGGCGGAGCTCTACTTGGTGGGCATGGTGTGCTACTACGGCAAGCACTACTCCACCTTTTTCTTCCAGACCAAGATACGCAAGTGGATGTACTTCGACGACGCCCAAGTCAAGGAGGTGAGACACAGTTTGGAGGCTGCATGCTGCAACACAGGGAAGGGGGTGCTGCTACAGTATCTGCTGCATCTCCAGTTGTGCCTGCGAGTGCAGCTGCGATGACAAGAACTACGCTGTGTGTTAGTTCCACTGCTGCATGGTCAGCGGGGGCAGCTCGCGATTGATTATGTGTTTGAATGTTTAATCCCGCCCTTTGTTTTATTCTTGCCGCAGGTTTATGTGCTAGAACTGGTCTTATGGTGCAGTACTTCATGATTTATCTTCTATAGGGCTGGGAAATGATATACAGTATTGAGGAAAGCCGGGTTAGTTTGTGTCAAAGTGTGATATAAAGTGTCCTTGACCCTTTTATCAGTCCCAGTGTACACTTTGGCATATTAGGTTATTGAGCTAATGGAAAACTGTGATAATATGTTATCAATAAGGACACAGAGCAGCACAGTGTGTGTTTGACCTTCTGGTTTTGGTGGAATATGCGTAATGTTATATCCTAATACAGATAGATGTTCTTAGATGTGTGTGTGTGTGTGTGTGTGTGTGTGTGTGTGTGTGTGTGTGTGTGTGTGTGTGTGTGTGTGTGTGTGTGTGTGTGTGTGTGTGTGTGTGTGTGTGTGTGTGTGTGTGTGTGTGTGTGTGTGTGTGTGTGTGTGTGTGTGTGTGTGTGTGTGTGTGTGTGTGTGTGTGTGTGTGTGTGTGTGTGTGTGTGTGTGTGTGTGTGTGTGTGTGTGTGTGTGTGTGTGTGTGTGTGTGTGTGTGTGTGTTGCCCTGCTGCACCTCCAGATCGGCCCTAAGTGGAAGGACGTGGTGTCTCGCTGTATCAAAGGCCACTATCAGCCCCTGCTGCTGCTCTACGCTGACCCCCGTGGGACGCCGGTGATACTGCAGGAGAGCTCCAACCCCTGTACCAGCTCCAACCCACAGCTGGAGCTCCAGCACTGCAGCAGCAAGGCCGGTTACGACAGCGAAGACTCTGGTACAGCAAAGACGACACACTCTGCTACAGATCAGATTACTCAGTGTTTATCATCCACGCGGGGGGGCATGTGAGGTTACAGATTTAAAGCCCTGACCTTCAACCCTTTAATCCAACTTCTGCTTTTCTACTGCAGAGCTGGAATTTATTTTCCCTGCCCTTTCACTGTAAACATATGGAGATACAGGATTAACGAAAAGGTAATCCCTCTTTTTTAACTTAAAATCTTTTTTTCTATCTCAGGTCGGGAGCCGTCTATATCCAGCGACACTCGTACTGACTCTTCCACGGACAGCTCGAGTCACCGCGCCACCCGCAGCCGATCCCTCCACCAGTCCACGGGAAGCCACCTCTCCAGCGAGTCCCAGACCACGGTGGTGTGTAATTACGACATCGGCACACCGCAGCACGGTGCCGACGCTGGAGGTAAAACTGCATTTCAAATCCAGTTGTAAAGTTACATATACAAGTTAAACTAGAAAACATTGTTAGCATTGTTGGCAGCGCCAAACAACTGCAAACACACAAGGGACTGCAGTGTTTTCAGGGAGAAAGTACTCAACTGCGGTACTTGTTTGAGGTACAAGTAAGAGCAATTAGTGGTAATGAAGTGCTGTGTGCTTCTCCACTGCAGTCTCTTTAGGTTATGCACCTCCATACTGGTTATTCTCCTATTTACTAGCACTGTTGCCTACATAATTGCCCCCCTGTGGGATAAGTACAAAAGTTATTGGATTTACTTGTTCTGCCTTTCTTCTCCCACGTTCAGAGTCAGCAGTGGAGGGTCCTCCCCGCCCTTCCTCTCCTCCTCTGCAGGAGTACAAGGAGACGGCCGTCTTCCTCCTCTCCTCCCGCCGGCCACTCACCTCCTCCTCCTCCTCGTCTCGTCCCCTGTCCTCCTCCTCTTCGTCAGGAGTCGGGGGCTGTGAGGGCGGGGTTGGGGGCCCCCACTGGGAGGATGAAAGCACCAGCAGTGAGAGCAAGTCCAGGTACTGCACTGCTGACGCACACAAACACATCTTACTTACAGTAAGACCATCTTGAATTCACATTAAAACGGTGTAAAGTTGTATTTTAAATGTTCTCATAATATCATAAGATAAGAGGTACTTTATGGATCCCAAATTGGGAAATGTTTGCGTTGCAGCAGCTTAAAAAACAAAACAAGGCATTGTCTGAATATTAAGTTATTCTAAATTCAGTACACCATGCAGTTAATATGAGATGATAAAAGTATTCAAATCCTCCTTTTATTGGGGGACTTTAGTATTTTCCAACCTGGCACATATTTCCCCATGATTCTATGTCTAAGTAAAGAATGGGGATTACAATGTTTGCAGTTGGTCCAGTATTGAGCGAGTACACTGCAGAGGGCATTTTCAAAACAGAGAAGTTCAGAAATCAGTGTTGTATTGTCAAAATCAGCTTAAGCTTCAGCCATGACACTGAACATCTTTAAGAAAACACTGAACTATGCTCCAAGTAGGGAATGAGTCCTTACCCCAAGTGAAGGAGTTCAAGTATCTCGGGGTCTTGTTCTCGAGTGAGGGAACAATGGAGCGTGAGATGGGTCGGAGAATCGGAGCAGCGGGAGCGGTACTGCAGTTGCTTTACCGCACCGTTGTGACGAAAAGGGAGCTGAGCCAGAAGGCAAAGCTCTCTGTCTACCGGGCCATTTTCGTTCCTACCCTCACCTATGGTCATGAAGGATGGGTCATGACCGAAAGAACGAGATCGCGGATACAAGCGGCCGAGATGGGTTTTCTCCGCAGGGTGGCTGGTGTCTCCCTTAGGGATAAGGTGAGAAGTTCGGTCATCAGGGAGGGACTCGGAGTTGAGCCGCTCCTCCTTCGCGTCGAAAGGAGCCAGTTGAGGTGGTTCGGGCACCTAGTTAGGATGCCACCTGGGCGCCTCCCTAGGGAGGTGTTCCAGGCACGTCCAGCTGGGAAGAGACCAAGGGGTAGACCTAGGACCAGGTGGAGGGATTATATCTCTTCGCTGGCCTGGGAGCGCCTTGGGATCCCCCAGTCAGAGCTGGTTGATGTCGCCAGGGAAAAGAAAGTTTGGGGCTCTCTGCTGGAACTGCTACCCCTGCGACCCGACCACGGATAAGCGGGAGAAGATGGATGGATGGATGGATGAACTATGCTTTTTGTACTCCAACACACCAAACTCTGACAACACAAAATCTCCGTCACGGTTGCTATTTCGTCTTCTGGTATCAACGTCATGTGACACAATGACAAACTCACCGTATCAAATAAAAAGTGGACAAACGTTTTTTTATTCCCCTGTAGAGTCCTTTCTATAATCAGTCACTTATTATAATAATCAGTGGTAAAACAATGTAATGTATGTTAAAGTCCTGCATTTAAGACCATACTTAAGTTAAAGTACTTTAAACACAAAAAGCGCTTTGAAGTATAAAAAGGATTTGTTACTTCGGTATTGTTTTTGCATTAAATGGTTAAAGCTCTGCGTGGGTGGACTGACTGAGCTCTCTATACCCTCTATAATTTGTTTTTAGTAGTTTTCAAAAGTCGAGGAACTTGTATTTTGGTGGGATATCATAGTATTCTTTCCACTCCTAGAGTCATGCAATATACAATCTAGATATGGTACGGTTTAGCATTGTATTGTGGTTTGAGATAAAGCACACTCACAAGTGATACAAAATCTTGGTAGTGATTTTAAAATACAGGAAGTATCATGTATGACAAAAAGCAGACTCTGCTTTCTTCTGCTTTTTTAAATTGAATCTTTATTAATGCAGGGATACCTTATAATTCTTGATTTCCTTATCTGTGATTCAACACAAATGGTTGTTTCTTAGGAGCACGTAATGTTTGTATTATTATCTAGAAAATATCCTAAATCTCGATTATTTTGGCAAGAACAATCATGACATAACTTTCCCGTGTAACATCTTCTCCCCTTGCCTGTAGTTCTTCTGGAGGCCGCTACAGGCCGACCTGGAGGCCCAGGAGAGAGGCCCTGAACATCGACAGCATCTTCACCCGACCGAGAGGCCCCTCTCTGGGCTACAACACCCTGCCTGGTCCCTCTCGGCCTCCGGAGCCGCACAGCGTCTTTCCCTTGGCAGGCCCTGCTCCCCCCACACCGCCAGGACTGCAGGAGGCTGAAGGGAGGGAGGTTGGGGAGTGTGAGGCAGGGCTTGGGCTGGTCGGACAGCCCAGGTCTCTGGGCGGCGGGCGGACAATGGGTCCTCCTCCCCCTCCGCCTCTGAGAGGGGTGGAACACCAACCGCGTCTGATCCAGAGGATGGAGAGTGGCTACGAGAGCAGTGAAAGAAACAGCAGCAGCCCCGATAGGTACACAAATATCAATTACTGTCTCTTCCTTTCTGTCTCTTTCGGTCATTTTCTTTCCCTCTCCTGGTTTCTCTGTCACGTTCAATCTAATTTTATCAGCGTGAAATACGAATGGGACATTAACAACAAAAAATTGTCCTACAATAGTGGCCAGAACAACAAATCAATGGACAAATTCGTCAAGAGACGTTTGATCCTCCTTCAACATTTCTTCCTTCTTCTTCCTTGTCTCTTTTTTTTCTTGTTTTTTTTTCTTTCATCATGTCAGGGAGGTGGGGCAACAGAAACGGGTACTGATGTCAGGACCTTCTTGGCGTTCGGTGCCAAAGTCAAAGAGCAGCGGTGCCATCCTGCAGGAGCTGCCCTCACCCAGCTGGGGCGGCGGCACCAACACAGGTGTGTGCTCCTGCATGTGTTTGCATTTATCTACTGTAAGTACAGCATTTGACATGTTTTCCTTTTTGTTCAGGCGGCCGAGGGCGCAGTGAGCTGGACGAGCTGCAGGAGGAGGTGGCGAGGAGAGCCCGCCAACAGGAGCAGCTGAAGCGAAGGGAGGCGGAGCGAGAGAAGGCCATGGGATTTAACCCCAAACCCAGCAAATTCATGGACCTGGACCAGCTCCAACACCAGGGTATGGCAAAGGAAGGGGGGGTGAAGAGAGAGACAAAAGGAATATATGAGAGGGAGTGAGGGTGCAGGAGAGGTTAGAAGGTTTTAAAGAGACTGAAAGAGGTCAGTTCACACAACTTACATGAAACATATTCACTCAAACTTACAACAGTTTAAAGATACTATTTCTTTGCTGGAGAGTAGCTCCAATGCAGACTGTCTGCATGACGAGAAACCAGAATTAGTAAGAGAATATATATTGATTTTCTGTACATACGTGTGAACTGGCCCTTTATGAATAAGACAACTGCATTTAAAGCTGCACAGGGCAACTTTGTAGTGTTTTATACCCCAGATAGTAAAAAAGATCACTAACTTATTACACAATTTCAATCTAAATGTTTTACTTTGGACAAAAATAAAACCAAAGGGTACGTTTATGACTTTTTAATTAGAGGGATGTGAGGCGGTTTGCCGATCCTTGCTAATAAATGGTGTGTTTTATGTTACAATTCTGCCCGCTGCAGCTCTAAGGTCACATTATCACCTGTTTAGCAGTCGCAGTGACTTGTGTGCTCTGTCTCCTCTTTGTCCTCATTCCCATCTGTTCGCCTGTCTCTCCATCTGTCTCACTCCGTCGTTATTTTTAATTTGTCTATTACTTCAGTTAGGATACTCTTAGTACTGTATATATTTGTTTTTTGTGTGTCATCCATGAGGGATTTTGTTGCGTGTGTGTGTTTGTTGCGTGTGTGTATGTGTCTGACAGTTCCAGCTGAGCTCTAGCTGCACTCCTATGGGACGTTCACTGACCATCACTGAGTGGGAAACTTTTTCAGGCTGATTCCCATTCAAAATCTCAATCGCAGTCCAAGTTCAAATCTGTAGGGAAATGAGCTTGTGTTTCTCATTTCACAGGAAGATTGTGTTTTTCTTGTTAGATGTTTGAGTATATCTGTGTCACAGTGCATCTTCATGTGTGTGTGTTGTGAGATTGTGCTTCAGAGCTGTAAACGTGAGACTCAGTTAACACTTAAAGGGCCACTCCACCAATTACACATGTCAAATTCGATGTATTTGTCGCAGGGAATAATGTGACTGTAATGTCTTCTGTGGTTTTAGAGCAGCTTCTGATGCTACAATTTGATTTACAGATGAGTCATTTAATTTCTGTCTTTGGGATTAAACATTTACCTTTCAAGCTGGGGCCAAGGAGTTTTGGAAGTTTAAGCATATACCAGGAGGGTATCTGAGGGGTCTTACAAAAACATTTAGAGGTGCTTTATAGGAAGTGTAGGATCAAGTGTTTTGGAAGCCTGACTCATCTTTTCCTGCACCAATTTGTCTCTGACCAAAAAATAACAGCTATCAGATACCTTGCTACGAAAATCTTTAAAGTTTACAGACATTAAGTGTTCCATGAGGATGAGTCATACTGACTATTGCAGTCTCAGGAGGGATATTTATATCTTTATAAAGTACTACAAAAAAAGTACAGCTAATTGTGTCAATTTAGGCTGATTAGCATATTAGCATGCTAACACCCTAAACATCAGCTAAACATCAGCATTATATCATGTTGACACCATAGACCGTATATAATATGGATGTATTCTCTGTGACGCCACACATTGGTTTCTGAGGAGTCGTTGGTAGAGAATAACTCCCGGCTAAGCCTTAATATAATTGATATGTTTTGTCTAGGCTATAAACATGTTTATTCATGCTGTAACGTTGGGCATGTAACATGGAGATCCTTGTGGATTAACTTCCTTTTGGAGCCAGTTCTGATTCGATGAACTGCAGAGTTTGGCATCTCGCGGTACCTCCTTTTTTTGCCTCTGAGTTTGCAGCTTAGCCGACATTAACAATTAGCTCGGGCCAACTGTGCTTAAAGACTGTAGACTGTCCGTCCTGTTTAATCCGTCTCAGGATTTGAGACGTGACTTGGGCCTGATTAGACTTGAATAATTTAAAGCCAAAAACATTTAAATACACTGTTCAACAACATGCTCTGTCATTTTGATGTGGTCCCTATTTGTGTGCGTGTGCTCATGTATATTTGGACCTTGCATCATATCAAATCATATTTGTCTATGCCTGTGTTACTATTTGAAGAACATATTGGTCTGAATGTGTGTGTGAGAGCAAGAGAGCCTTGTCTGAACGGCAGGTGTGCAGGTTTTCCCCTCCAGCTCAGCACCTAGCTAAAACTATATCAGGGATTATTATGTTCTGTCCTGTCGGTCCTACTGTGTGTGCTTCAGTGTGTTCAGCCTCATGTACCTGACACACACACACACACACACACACACACACACACACACACACACACACCCTCATACAGACACACACACACCCCTGTGAGTACACTCAACCTTGATGAAGTGAAAGGACGACTTGCTAGCGAACAGATGGCATCACTATCAGTGCGATTACGTAAAGAATCTGGTTTCCCATATCCCTATTGATGGTTTTATCCGGACTCCAAACAATCTGCCTCAGTGTTTTAGAGGACGTTACAGCCAACGACAACAACAGCGCTGCCACCAACCTTCCTTTATTCTGTCTCTATCAATCAAAAGTCTTTAAAGTCAAGCCGGGATAGGGGATTGCTGCTCTTTTGTTGTCCTCCTTGTTGTACGCATATCTTTTTTACAAGTAACCCCTTTCAGGGTGCGTTCACAAGGCAAGGCACCAAAGAAAGCTTTGTCTTAAAAGAGTGACCCTTTTTTCTCTGTCTGGTGTCTGTGGCTTCATGAACGTAGCCTCAACGTTGCTCCTCTCTAATCTAATCTTGACTTTTTTGACTTACTAACTACAGTCCACGTTTACATATCGATGCATTTACAATAGAGTTGCAAAGTGGAAGGAGATGCTGGGTGTGGAAGGATTTCCCCTCACTATAAAGTCTTCTTAGAATTTAAAAAACTCAGAGAATTAACTCAGGGACCTTTGTTATACTGTAGATTATTACATTTGTTTACATTAGCTATCAAAGGTTACTGGTCATATCAGTCCAAATCAAGTTTGAGATGTTAAACACCTAAGTGAATTACATATGTTATATTCTTATTGATTAAACTTGCATTTATCATACACTATACAGTATATGATATTTCATTTTATAAAAGTGCCCTAATCTAGTTTTAAAGACAAGTTTTGGATTTTGAGTTGTAAGTGTTTCAGCTTTAATTCTTTATAGTCTTTTTCCATCAGTTTGATGGTGAGATTCTTAGTTACCCATGAGTCCCAGCAGCTATAGCTATACAAAAGAACATGCACATCTGAGCTGCTCCTACTGTGCGTTTGTTGTCAATGCGAAATATAATGAGAAGTGGCTTTACCTTTGTATAAATTAACCTATATAAACAAGTTCTCCAACTACACCTAACAGAAACAAATCCTCCTACTTTGCAACATGTATAAATACAAACCTTGACTTACAGTAGAGGAGCGTAATGCATGCCGGCCCCCCTCATAACCACTCCTTCTACTCTGCTTCTATTTTCTCCTTTTGTCTCACCTGTTCTGTCATTCTCATATTTTGTCTCTGTCTTTTATCTTTTACTCTTTCCTTCTGGTATTCTTCTTTGATGTTTCTTCTACTTTTGCGTTCGCCCACTCTTTTTCCTTTCTCTGCCACTCCGTCCTTATATCTTTCTTCTTCTTATCTCCCGCTCTGTTGTTAACATCCTCAGCTGTGCTCAGACCCCTGCATGAGGCTAACGCTCATAGCGGATTGGCTGTAGCTGCGTGCATGAGGAGCACTGGGGGCCCAATCAAACGCAGGCAGGATCAGGAAATGGAACGGGAGACAGGAAGCGCCCGCCCACAGGGGCCTCGCAGGTACCACCACTGTCCCCCCTTATGTGTCCGCAGCGGTGCCTGTCTCAAAACCCCATCAGACCCCCTTCTTCCCTCCCTCCCCACCCTCCCTCCCTCACTTCGTGTGTGTCCTCAGCTCAAGCTGTTCTCAAACCCACCTCAGGAGTCCTCAGTGGGGGTCCTCTGGGTGCTGGCTGTCCAAAAACACCCTCATATGTGTGTCCTCAGCTCTGGCTGCCCTAAATTCCCAGATGCACTGCACTCTCACATCCTGCTGTATGTGTGTATGTGTGTCACACACACTCGACTTTATACAGTATTCTTTTGTGTCTGTGTGTTTGATGCAGTGCAGTGAAAACCTGCTTTGCTGGGCTCTGTTGCTGCCATGGAGAATGAAAAGAGAGACAGAGTTGCTCTCGGCTTTTCCGTGCTTCACTGCTTCCCTGCATCGTTGTTGTTGTGCTGCTCTTTGTAGCTGTGTGCTGCCAAGGCTTCCCTCGCTCTGTGTGCCGCTGATCTGTCCCTCTATGCACTCACTGTAAAGCTGCAGTCCGTCTCTGTGTGTCTGTTCTGTGTGCTAGGGAGCCATTGTAGTCACAGATCCTGTGCTGGTTTTTGTGTGTCTTTGTGCTCTGTGCTCTGTGCTTCTGTGTTACCGTCACTCTGTTCTCCTCCTGATGTGTTCGTTTTGCTGTGTGACGAAGGGAAAGTGAGCTTCAGTTGTCATAGTGTCACATTTAATATTTAAAAAGAGTGAGGCTGCTCATCTCGCAGCTGAGATATATCATTACTAACATTTAATGATAATTATTAGACTTGCAGGCAAGTATAACGGGGTCCAAGCATGTGGATTTCTTTAAGTTCCACACCATTGTCAAGACAAGAAAAATATGTCAACTTTTGTTTAGGTGGTCAATTGTCACAATTGTATGGGAGACAGACAATACAAGCTATTACTTATACTAAAGCAATTGTTTTTTTCTATTGCTAACTGTTTTTGAATAGGAACAACTTTAAAATAGACAACATTAGCAAAAGGAACACTGAAATGTTAATTCAGGGTGTTTTCTTTCTAACTGAATGAAGACTGGTTATGAAAGCAGAGAAGAAAGGTCAACATTCACTAGTGCATGAAAGAAAAATGGTTTACAACATTACATGTCATTTGTTAGACACTTTTATCCAAAGCGACTTACATACATTCAGTACTGTGGGAAATCCCCACAGGAGCAATTTGGGGTGAAGTGTCTTGCCCAGGGACACAATGACATGCTGACTGCAGTGGGACTCAAACTTGCTATCCCCTGATTCAAAGTCCAGCACTCTATCCACTGAGCCACAGCCACCTTATGTACACAGAAGTTACAGATATTGTGTCTCATAAAGGGTAATTAAAACTTAAAATCGTCTTTATTATTATTACATATAGTCCTCCTGCTGCGCTTTAAACAGCTTAATTACTGCGCATGGGTGTTACAATGTGTGGATTTTGACTTAGTCATGTTAACATCGGATTAAGTCTCTGTTTCAATTCAACTCAGCATGAAAATGAATAAATGTTCAATCCAAACTGTTAACAGCATGGAGGCAAGGAGGAGGAGGTAAAGCTCAGCGCTCAGCCTCTTTTATTACCTTCCTCCTCTCCTCTATTGATCAACACACGCCTCTGATTTATAGCTCGCTGCTGCAAAGCCTGCTGGGTAATTACTAAGGCTGAAAAGAGACAGGGGAGTTAATGTGGGGGATGGGGGCCAGCGTTCACGTAGACACAGACAGGTTTGCGCACGCTGTCTTTAAAAATACAAATTGACAGACTGTTCACACACACACACACACACACACACACACACACACACACACACACACTCCGAGTCTCTGCAGAGAGGCTCCTCTAATGTTCAACATACATCATATCCTACACATATCAATGCATGTAAATCATTAAAGTAATATAGCGTCCCCCCGAGACTGAATTACTCTAGATTGTAGAAGCCACATTAATTTTCAGTGTTGATATACAGCACCGGAGCAGCAGAAGCTAAATTGCTGTTTTGATAATCACATTAAAGTCTTGAGTTGTTTGAGGTGGATGTGTTCAGATCCGAGAGTTCAGTGTGGTGAATGTGCAGCAACCTGTCATTAACAGCATGGCAGTGAGAACCCATACCCAAACGAAGCGATGCTTGCACAGGGCTGCATCATTGTGTGTTCCTAGCTGTTTGTTCCTTTTGAAAGCAAGCTTGTGTGTGTGTGTTTTCTGCTTGTTTATCCCGGTGTGCAGTTGTGACCTTCCCTCTATGCAGTAACTCACCTGACGTCAGAGCAGCTCTGTTTTTTGGGGTTTTCTTTTTTCGTGCTGCATGCTGACTGACACCCTCCCTCTCTTGTCTCCTCCAGTGGACAGCCTGGCCCGGTCCAAGTACTGCTGACGCCCAATCAGGAGGAGGAAGAGGACCAGGCAACGCCCAACCAGGACGCTGCTCTGGGCCCGGGCCCGCCCCCTCCACCCTATCGGCACGCCCCCCCTCGACCCGCGCTCACCCTCAGCATCCCTCACCCTTGCGCCCCTTCCAGCCGAGAAGAGGAAGAGGAGGAGGAGTGTGGATGCATGGGGAGGAGAGGGGAGGAAGGCGAGGATGGGAGGGAGGGGACGGGGGTGAGGCTGTGCGAGTTGCTGCAGGCAGGGGGGGTGAGTGTCAGACCCCTGGGGAAGCACTTAGCTATCTCTCTGCCCTCGCTTCCTCTGCGTCTCTGGGATACACACACCATACACACTGCACACTCCACACACCATGAACACACACACTCACGTCCTCCTCCTCCGTCCTATACTCCTGCACCATCTTCCCCTCTGGAAGGCTCCGAGCAAAGGAAACCTCCCTGGCAGCCCCCCCAGCTTCAGTCCCCCACCGGTGCGGCTCATTGGCCGGGGCAAGAAGCCGCGGCTGACAGCGCCACACGTCATTGGTCCTCCTGGAGTCTGGACCGCCCCGACGCCGTGGTGACTCCGTACGACACCCCCCCGGACCGCTGTGTCCCCATCAGGCCGCAGACCACCAGCCAGCAACACAGCTACAGTTGTCAGTCCTCTCCAGGGCACTACAGCTCCCAGCATGCCCTAGGGCAACAGAGTGATCACCGCTGTGACCGCGAAGAGGCTGAGCTGTCTGAGCTTGACTCCCTTTACCAAGCCAGTCTGCAGGCTGGAAGGACAGGTACACACACACACACACACACACACACACACACACACACACACACACACACACACACACACACACACACACATCCCTACCAGTTTGTACAGAACAGAACAAAAAGTAATCTTTTAATCATTATTTAAATGATCAGAACATTTATCAACAACAATTTAGAGAATATCTGGCTTTCAGATTGTTTGGGAAAAGAACATGCAATGTATAGTCTCTACCCTGAGCCTTTGGAATTTCTGAATGAATTATTATCAATGAATCGGTACAAAAGGGAAAAGATGAATTGATACTGAAAATAATTGTTAGTGGTTCTTAATTCTCAAAACAGAAATTGAAATTAACATTCAGTATGTATATAGTTAAGTTAGATTCCTTACTTGAGTCAATCCTATAAATGTACTAAGAGCATTGTATTGAAAACCATGTTTAGAGTGGTTTAGAAATGTAAAACAAGCAACAACCCTATACTAATGTACTGTTCATACCGCTGTCCTTTTTAAGTTGTTTTTTTGTATGTAGTATGTTAACACTGAAATGTCCTACATTTTTATATAAGAAAATGGTAGCACCAGAGTATTTCTGCAGACAGGTTGTTGCAGCTGATTTGGGTCAATTAAAAAGTATTGCCAAGCACCCCTAACCGAGGTGGCCGTTTGGTATGCTGTCACTTTACTTATTGAAATCACAGAACTTTAAATAAAATTTTAGCCAAAAATCCAAAGTTTAAAGAAAAGATAAATGACTGAAAAATGTTTATAAATCAATGCAAAACACATATTTAATTCCCTGAATTAAATATGTGTTGCCCCACTTCCCTGAAGTGGGGCAACCATAAAAACAATATTTTGTGTTTGAACAGTTGACTCAGTAAGTGTGATATATTGCATTAATAAAGGGCCAGACCATAATTATATGAAATGGCTAAATAATGTAAAGCTTAATTTAAGAACGTGGAGAAAAATAGCGTTGAGTTTATTTAAAAGCTGCCACTAAATGAACAGACATCATGAGTGTTCCTGTTTTGACCTCCAGCCCTGCCTGTGTGTTTTTAGGGTGCAGTCCATCAGAGAGGCTGATATCAAGGGTGGGGGGGCAGGGGCGCTCCAAGACCCCCAACGCAGACATGGAGAGGAGTGTGTATGGGGCAGACAGCACCAGCACCCCCACCTACCTCAACAAGGTAACGTCTTTTTAACCGATCCCCTCTAACGTTTGCAGGTCTTCAATTGGATCCATTTCCCAGCGTCTGACTGACATGTTCTCCTTGCAGCCAATGACGTTGCGGGATCTGCGTTTGGGGGCGGGGCCTGATGATGGGGAGAACCTGAGACGAATTGGACGGAGCCTGAGCGGCACGGTAGTGACCCCGCGCCGCGGCCGCCTGACTGCAACCCGCAGCTTTGTGAGTGTGACTTCCTGTGCTCTGCTGCCTCCCTGTGGCCGTGCTGTTAAACTGCATCAGCCTGAATGTGGCGTCGCCGTGGAGCTTTTCCACATCCCTGTGCTCTATCCTCCAGCCGTTTGTCTCATTTCTCCCTTTTGTGCTGCTTTCCAACCTGTCCTCCTCTCTCTGCGTCTCTTACCTCTCTCAAAGGTGAAGCAGGCTGATGTCAGTGCCTCTGCTTGCTTACTTCCTCTCTTCTGAATCCCTGTTGCTCTTCCACCACTATCATCTCCTCCATCCTCCTCATCACCAACACCTTCTCATCACCACCTCCCTCCTCCGCTTCACAGGTAAACACTGCGCTGGGCTCATGTATGACATTACTCTTATAATCTTTAAAGGAACATACCACTCAGCTGCTTAAGGGGACTGCACATATCTCCTTGGTTACGCTACTTTGAGTTCCAGATCATTTTTTGGTGAACATTTTGTTTTCTGGCAAACTCATCTGGCACAAAGTAGGCTAAGCCACTATTAGCACATAGCTCAATCCTGTGGACGTGCACTAATTTGTAAATACTGTGCAAAGGCAGGTTATATTCCACAAACTCCAACGTGCATCCTTTCTATACAAACAGTTTTATCCATCTAAATTCATCATTCTTCTTTTAGGACCCACTCTGATCACAAATTGAGTTGCACGCACAGGTTATCTCCAACTTTTGAAGCCAAAATGACACAGACATAAACTGCAGCCTTGTCTGGTTTGTTTGCGTCATTAAAGGTCTCTCTGTTTTGGAGATGTTTAACCACACCTAAATGTGGGAGCACATCGATCTGAAATACTTTTATGAGATACTGTTATTCTCTGATATTTATTTTCAGTAATGTCTCTTACCCTGTATCATTGTTAGTTTTCTTCAGCTCTTACATTCTTTTTTTCAGAATGGATACGTTATACATTAAACTGAAACTTGAACCTGAAATGTGTCTAATATTATAATTACAAAACAGAGGGCTAAAAACTTTGGTTAGACACTGGCACATTTTTAAATCAGTTTCGGATGTGAGGTGAATTACAATGTAACAAGTTGCCCAGATATTATTATGATGTTATATAAAGGGAGATGAATAAGCAGGTTTCTAGTATTCTATGTATTCTATATAATCTATTTCAAGGTAATTCCCAGGAAATATGATACTATACATGTACATGCTTTGTGTGTTTTTTTTTTACACAGCATAAGCACACATTAATTAGGCATATAACTAGAAAAAGGAAGATATACAAGACATCTTAACCACATGACAACCAAAATATATATATTTGTAGCTTTTAATTTCTTACTCATAACCCTTACATGTGTGGATGACTCAACTCACTTTACATTGAATTCTTGTCAAATTTCAATGATCCAAAAGTAAAATGACGACTTGAAATTGTCGATCAGTTGATATACAAGACATGGAGAACAAAATTATTAAACTAAAATGGTGCAGCAACAACGACATCTTGTGTTTGAACAGTTGGTGTTCAATACATAATTCATGTTGTGAAAGCGTGTTGGACAACATGTTCTACTTAGTGTTAGATTGAACTAGAACATGGGGAACATCAGGGATCAAGTACAGTCCTGTAAAAGCTGCACCAAATATCACATTTAAACAGATTTAAACAGTACAGATTATGCTATTTGTTCAGAACATCTGTATGTGTTCAGGATAGCAAATTGAACAATCCATGCTTCTATAAATCTTAATTCCTAGAACATTTGTGGCCGCTCAAACTGATTGATGGATGTCTAGGTGAATAAATACTTGATCTCTTCTGCTCCAAATCTACTTCACAGTTCAGCTCTTAAACTTCTCTCACTGTTTTAATTCCAGGTGCACCTTCATACTAATCTGACCTGTTGTCTCTTCTTTTATTTTAGGAGCTAACCGGGAGTACAGGGAGTTTCTGGCTGTGTCTGACGGGGGTCAAGGTGTCTTCTGACCGGAGTCCCACTCTGCTTCACTAACGTCTCACAGTGTGGGGGGGCAGCAGCCATGACGGACCTAGAATTGGCTCCGGAGGATCTACTCCTATTATGTTCCTCCTTCTCCTCCCTTAAACAACATGCACGCACACATGCACATCTGCACTGACGTAGAGCCTCCCTCAGCGCCTGCAGCACCCCGCTTACCTCCCCCTACTCCCCCCTCCCCTTTCTTGACCTACTATTCTGTCTATGCAGTCACTCTGACCCCCAAACTACAACCTCAACCTTCCCACCTACTTCCCGGGACTCTTGTTTCTCCCCCCAGAGGTTTCTCTGTGCGAGCGTGAATTCGCCCCCTTCATCCTAAAGGAACCTCAGCTCAGGGGGGAGACCCCTACTAAGTAGCCACGCCTCTTCCTCTTTCTTCACGGGCATTTCCTGTTGGACGCACACATAGCCAAACTGGGTCTGTTTTTAGATGGACTGCTATACTTTTTCTCTTTTTCTTTTCGTTAGTTTTTTTCTTCCTGTGTGCGCGCACAGTAAACCCGCCCGGAGACTGAACTCACTAATAACAAAAAGTCATGTACAGAAAAACTCATGTATGAAACCTGTATGTTAATTAATAAGACCTTATGGAATGTTGATAATGATAATTAATGAATATTGATAAACTTAAAGTGGTACTTCCTCATGTCTGCTTTTCAAATAGGAGTGGAGTGCACTTCACAAGTGTCTAGCTGGAGATTCCGCCCCCCCCCTAAACCTGCTCGTCGACCTAAATGACAGCTCTCCCGTTTCTTCCGGGAGATTAAACAAGAAAAGCGCTTATTTTTTTCTCTTCTTTCCTTTCTTTCTTGCTGTCTTTGATTCACGCTTGCTCTTTTTCTTCCAAAACCCGAAACAGTAGCACCAGAAATTGGACACAGGGGAGGAAAGTCGAGAAGGAATGAGAGTATGTACATTAGGAGACCCTTCTCTGAGTATTTATCAGTGAAAACATTGATTGACTTAAGTGCGCTTTACAAGGTTACATGGCAGAAGTGCACTTTCCGAAAGCTATTTGACTGAGAAGCAGCTCGATGGCGGTTATTTTACTTAAAGGCCTCAGGTGAATTTCAGTGGCACTTACAGATTCACACTATTGTTTTCCCCTCCCACTGAAACTTGTTTGAGACCTCAGATGTTAATAGGAAATGCTCATCTTCAGCCTGAGACATGTCTAATATGAATATGCTTTATATGATATATATGTATTAGAGGTATATTTTCGGCCAGTGAGCTATCTTCTTCAGAGATGTCAACCATTCCTCAGTTGTATGAACAGTTATAACTTCATTCACCCCCTTTACTGAGGAGCGTTCTGACATGTGTAGAGTACATTTATTATATGCTTTATTCTATTTAATAATATATACAAATAACAAAGTCCTTATACAACAACTGGCCAATGTAAAGTTCTTTTAGAATTTACTGATGATTGATCGTTGTAACTAAACCAAAGGTTGGCACTTAACTCAGAGAGCGTATTTAACATTGCTGTTTTTATTTTCATTTAGATTTTGTTGTTGTTTTTGTTAGTTTTTTTGGGTTTCTGGATTTGGGAGAATGTAGCCAATTGTAGCGCATGAGTCCGCTATGCAAATCAACCTTCCCTCACGATCCTGTATCGGAGACAGCCACGAGGCAGACACACCCACCCACGGGCGCCCTCATGGACTCTGGCAGAGACACGGAGGGGTGGAGGAGATCTCATGTTCAATGCTGCTGGTGAACTTTGTTGTTCTGCATCTAACTGCTATGTTTCAACCTATGGAATGCAAAAAGAGAGCAACAAGGAGGTAGTGGGGAGCAAAAAAAAAAAAGGGAGAAAGAGCGAATGAATGTAAACTAAAGGATGAAAGTGTGTGTTTGTGAATAGTGTGAGGGTGAGAGACACGAGAGGTTCTGAGAGTGAAGAGTTTACCACTGCAGGTGCATTGTATGTGGGTGTGTGTAGACTGTGTGTCAGTTCTGGGGTTGTGTTGCTCGGGGAAAGAGGGAACCTGTATTTTTGCAATAAAGTTATTACCAATGCACTCCCACAGGGGGCGTAACCACCGTAAAATGTATGTGTCATCCTTTGGTTGAGGCAGTGGTGGAACCTTTAGTTTTTTAACTTTAGTTACTTTCAAGAGTCCGGATGAAATACCAAATATAATCAATAAATCATTTATCATGTTTTAATATACGTTTTCTCGGTTAAATTCGCAAGCAACTCATACGTGTAAAGAAGAACTAAAGAAAGCTCGTCCAGGTGCAAAATGAAAGTCACAACGTTAATAAAGTATCAGGAGAAGAGAAACGTTAACGACCAAATACAAACCAAGAAACACGTTATTATATTCTCTAAATCTACGAATGATATATAGTAGCATTTTAAGACTTCCTATTTCAGAAAAAAAATGTTGTCCCATTATATACTTGTAAAATTCATGATTGGAACTCCAAAAAAAGCTCCTTAAATATTTAAACAGGTATCTGCTCCCGTATATTACTTAAACATGACATAATGACCACGTCAATATTGTTTATAGGCTAGATATAGATAACACATGTATACACCAACAATTAAATGCTAATTTGGTGACTGGCTCAAGGGAGTGTTGTCAAGAAAATAATCAACTACATCTTTGTAAAATGTTCACTAACTCTAAATATCCTGACATATTGTCATAAAACCCCTTTTGTATTTGATACCAAGCAGTTCCTCCACTGGATTATCTCTAGCCTCTTTTCAGGGCACTGACATTTAGGCGATACATGACATTCTAATTTCTTAAAATACTTTTTTATTATACTAGTAATCTTATTAAATGTTTTTATTGGAAAAATGCAAACATGACATGCTGAGCACTTACATACTGTATGAAGCTCATAAAAATGTAAGGTATTGTCCTTTCTCGTCTGGCCTCCTAAATAATCCTCACATTACTGACACGAATACAGTAATTGCATTTTTTTTTAAAATGCTAATATTTGAGTTCTAACAATACAATTTAATCATGTAGGCGAAAAACTTCCTGTGAATTGTCAGACGTGAACTTATTTCTGTATTTATAGTGGCTGCATTGTGGAGGGTCTGGTCAACAGGAAGTAGAATGTCGCCAATAGGGTCAGTTAGTTAGCTGTGGGCTACAACTTGAGACCCGTTTTTGTTTAGCCTATATTTACCAAATGTTGGTAAATTGAAACATAAAAATATCCCGATTTAGCTATTACAAGTTCCTGTTTGTAATGATATCCTTTATGTACGAAAAAACAAGCACTACGTATATTTCATACTGAAGACAACTTAAAAACGTTTAGAATCTCAAGCTAGTTCCGGAGTTATAATGAGCGTCTTTTTGCGGATCTCTGGACTCAATTTCTATGGAAAGCGGAGTTCACGGTAAGTGAATATACTGGATCTAAACATTTGTTTTTCAAGTCTGTGTTTTCAGATTTGACGGAGTTATATAATTAAGGAATTTGTGGATAAAAAAAGCTGGAACAAATTAAACCAATTTCAAAACATTACACATGGCCTACTGTTTTAATGCAGGCTACTTTACCTGGCAGTATTTATTTGTCTTGTCATGTTATACTTCTACTAATTTAAGAGGGAATTAGGCCTACTGTACGGCTATGAAGTTAGTTTTATGTTGGATACTGGACCGACATTCTTCTTGCACAGTTTAACAGATTGTCTGAACATGGTTTTATTTAGGGACCATCAATGTGTTGGAGTGACACAAAACCAATGTTATTTTAAATACCTCTGTGCTCACTTGTAAGTGAAAATTATCTTGTGGCAAATCAAATCCTTTTAAATACTGCTGTGTCATGAATTGATTCAAAACAATCTTTCCATAGAAGGGTTATAATTTTAAATATATAATCACATATTTTTGTATTTATTGATGTTGGTCCATTTTCTATTATATATGAATATTTTTATGAAAATGCAGCATTTTTTATGAAAAGTAATGTACAGTATTCCTATGACAGTACACCTCTTCCTATAGGATTTTAGTCCACGTTCTATATTTAAATAATATATCTTTATGAAAAAACTTGCAGTTTTCCATCAAAATGCCTCTAAATGCAGGACTTTTAAGAGTAACTGTATTTCTACACAGTGGTAGTTTGGTGTTTTTACCTATACAGTCAATGGTTTTTACTTAACTAAAAATATTTCAGTAGGGTTCTTTTTCGACCAGTGCATATTCGAGTTGCAAGAACTACATGCGTCATAACTACACATCTATTTGTCAATTACATTTTTTTCAATAACATGCATTTTCCAATTGTGGAAAATAGGTATGGTTTGACATTAACTAAAGATGCATAGAATAACAAGTGGTTAAATGTTTCTACTGTAAATCTGGTGGTCATATAACGGTTACAAAGGTACTACTTTGTTGAGCTCCAAGTGAATATAGTTGAGTGTTGGCCAGTCTGCAGTTTGTGCCTCTACCACTAGATGTAAGCAGTGATACACTGGCCAAATGTATTCACACATTCAATGACTCCCACTCATTCATAGTATACACACACCAACACAAATATATAACCACTCTTTTCACTTCTTCAGAAAACCTCTTGTCAAAGTTTTTGCTTCGCTCTCAAAGTAACAATTAAAAGTTTGACAGAGATTTTGAAAAAGAAAATGTCTGGATTCCCTTCAGAACAGAGCAAAGAAAAGGTGACGAATCAATAGCCATTACCTTTCACACACACCTCTCTCCGGTACTGGGAGAGTACATGTAATGGTTATTTGATGTCAGTGTGTGTTTATAGTCCTGCCATCCTTTCGGAACCAGTGACCTGAATTCAGAGAAACTGCAGAATGTTGTTTTTAAGTACAGTCGTTTTTATTTCTCCTCTCTAGTCTCACTACTTCAAAAACTTCAATACATTTGCTAAACGTCACCTTTTTTTTTGTCTTTGCCAAGAACAAACTTCTGTTCTGATATCATACCTCCAGGCAGTACATTTTTTAAATAAAAAACCCTTCAAGTTTTCTTTTGAGTTGATTTTACCATGGAGAGTAAATCTGATATTATGGGGGAGCCTTTAATTAGAGACACAATCGTTAGTTGATTGATTTTCTATTCAATGATATAAGAAGTTGCTAAGTGATGAAAAATATCTCTCTTAAAATTGTCATTAGTTGTTTCCAAGCATCGAAACGACCTTAGCCAAAATGAAAAAAATATGAACTTGCAAACACACTCAAGAGCAAACATAGATGTAGTTATACAGAAACACAAATGGTGAAAACCAAGACTAAATTAAAAGGTTGAAAGCAATGATGTAGAAATGAACACAATGTACCAAATATTTGTTGATGTTGTAAAGGCAAATTATATCAGGTTGAGACAAATAAGACTTAAGGTGTCAGTATAGGCGGTGTGTATAAGTGATTATGGCTGGCCAAATAGCTTTGGAAACCTCTTTCCCCAACACCTTTCCAATGTAGCATTTGTTAAAGTTCAGCTGATAGAAATCTGAACAATTGTACAGGTAATTGGTCCTGAACCAAGTTTCGGACACATTAAGAATTCTGACATTATATTGGCCCTAGATGACTAGTTAGGACCATCAAAGCTATTATGGTTCAACCTGTTGGGAACATGAATGTACCAAATGTCCCATCCATAGTAATCCTTTATCCTATACTGTGTTTGCAAAGAAATGTCACTTTGGACTAGAGTTCAATGTCCTTTCAGACCGACATTTGTATTCTTAGAGCATGGAAAGGAGGAAAGCTCCTCTATTGTGGACAAAGAGTTTTCTTGACTTTAGACATTGATACCTTCACATAGACTGAATGGATTTTTACAATATGAACTGCTTTTAAAATCCATGTTCTTTTGCAATTTGAACTGCTAAGATGGATCTAACCAATTTCTAGCAATAAGGACCCTCACAAAGATGTCCCCAAAGAGGGGAACACAACTTAAAACTTAAAATATAAGATAAACAGCCTCCTGAAACTATCTGAGAAAAGTTTAGATATTCAAACAAAAGAAGTGGTTGGGACCTGTGATGAGGGTTATTACGGCAAGTGGTATTGAAGGAAAAGGTAAAGCCAACCAGCCTGAAAGCTTATGTTGAAAGGAAGTGGGTCAACATGAGAAATACAGATGGTGCATTCAACAAAGGTTATTATATAAGACGATTCTCTTTCAGAACACAATAAGCTTTTCAAGCTAGTGAAGGACTGCGGTCCCTGATGTGTACACTGCCTTACTGAGGGATGAACGGAAACAAATTGGAGTTAAGAAGATCGATAAGAACCCTGAATGTAAAGGAAAGACAGCTGGAAGTCTCTGGATTTGTCTTCTTGATCCACAAAATCTAAGTTCAGTAAAAAACAGAATGCTTCAACATGTTTTTAGCACACGATAATTGTCTTACTATGATACAACTGATGTGGACTGTTGCATTTAAAAGCTTTGATAGCATTGGGGGTAGTTGTAGAGGAAACAATTCAGAAATAATTCATTAAATTAAAAACCTCCTACACAATTTATCCGAACACTAAAATCAGAATAGACAAGGTAAAGGTAATCATAAACATCTAAATTTATGAATACAAAACGACTTTATTTCTGAAATACTTTATTCCCATCCTACCTGAACGCACAGCTCCAAGAGCTCAAACAGGAAGTTGTGATGGCAATAAAAGAATGAGCCTATAGTGCTGTGACTGAAAGGTCGACTATTACTCTCATATAGAAGTGACAAAGTGACTTCAAAAGAGCCTTTGCCTAGACCTTTTTATCACCCTTTTATTTATTTATTTTTTATTAATTGCTTTTTATTAATTCTACCGTGTTGTGTAATGTTTATTTATACTGTTCATGCGCACTACTTGTAGCACTTCGGGATTTGAAATAAAATATGAAGTCCTTTATAAATGGAACCCATTATTATCATTATTATAAAGTGTTTAAATAAGATCTATCCGAGCCTGAAAAACATGATTTCATGATCAAATGGTTAAACAGAGTACGAAGACCAACTCTAGCAGTGTAATTATTATTATAACAATTATTATTATTGTAATGTTACCTTGGT